CATCACATGGAGCTTCTATCCCAAGCTTCTGGTGCGGGAAAGCCCAGGAGCCCGAGGTCTGCGCAATATCAGTAACAACCAGTCAATCAGTCTTCACCCATCCTCTGTCAACAAGGGACACAATGAGTCCCGAAACGTGATTTGGATTGGATACTGACGGTGGATGAACAGAGCCTGGCCACAAGCTGCAGATTGGTCTTGTCGGATACCCTAACGTCGGAAAGTCTTCCACCATCAACGCCTTGATTGGTGCCAAGAAGGTGTCAGTTTCGTCAACACCAGGAAAGACCAAGCACTTCCAGACAATTCACCTCAGCGACAATGTTGTCCTGTGCGATTGCCCTGGTTTGGTCTACCCCAACTTCGCAAACACCAAAGCCGACCTGGTCTGCAACGGTGTGTTGCCTATTGATCAACTGCGAGAGTTCCAAGGACCGGCTGGCTTGGTCACTAGGAGGATACCCAAGTCCTTCTTGGAAGCCGTCTACGGAATCAAGATCAAGACCCGCGCTATCGAAGAGGGAGGCACAGGCACTCCTACGGCTCCGGAGTTGCTCCGCGCATATGCCAGAGCTAGAGGTTTCCAGACCCAAGGATTGGGCCAGCCTGATGAGTCAAGAGCATCTCGTTACATCCTCAAAGATTACGTTGCCGGAAAGCTCCTGTACTGTGAGCCGCCACCAGGAACAGTTGAGGGCCCAGAGTTCAACGCAGAGCTCTATGACGAGACGCATCTCCCCGAGAAGCGCCGTCGAGCCCTCAGCACGTCTATGGACACCATGTCCATTATGGACGACGATATTTCGATAGCTCCCTCAGACCTAGCAGCTCTGCCGGCTGGTCCTAAGTCCAAGCAGATCGACAAGGGTTTCTTTGGCCCCAACAGCAGTGGCGGTCACACCAAGATGCCCTTCAGCCACAAGTACACGGAGCAGGGGCAGAAGCACTTGAGTGGAAGAAAGGCAAGAGCGATGATCGCTCTGGAGAGCGGAGTTGACCCTAAAGACGTGAAGCTGTCGTCCGGAAAGAAGCACTTTAAGGGAGGTGCGAAGACCAGGAAGGGTAAGAAGAAGGCCGATGAAGACGATGACTAGATACCTTGGATGAACAAAATGCAATGAAAAAAAGTTGAATGCCTTTATGTTTCGAGTTTTTTTTGGAGAAGATACGCTAAAAGGGTTCGTGATGCGACAAAATCGTGACTACACACTGTAATCATGTCTACGTATTGAAGGTCGGGAGGGGAAACTTTCAGGACTGACAAGTGGTGTTTGTGAGATGTCGGTCAGGTTGAGTCCTGGAGACCAGGCAGGGAAGACAAGGGTGGACCCAGAGAAGTTTAGCGCGTTCCGCACCCGACGCGTCTTTTCGATGAGCATCGCGTAAAGTGCTTCTGCCCACTGCCCGCACAGAACTCCAGCAACTTGACGATCTGCTATCTGCATCTCCCAACATCCCAACCAAAGGAAAAGCCGCCATGCCCGCTCAGAAGCAGATCACGAAGCCAGAGGAGGCTGGCGAGTCTTCGACGTCCGCAGCCAAGAAGGCATTGACTGCGGCGTCAAACGGCGTTCCTAATTATGAGCTTCCGTGGTCAGTCACTGTAGACTTCCCCCAGCTTTCCGACCCAGCTGCTAATATGCGTGCTTCAGGGTCGAAAAGTACCGCCCAGTCTTCCTTGACGATGTTGTCGGAAACACCGAGACGATTGATCGCCTAAAGATTATTGCAAAGGAGGGAAACATGCCGCACGTCATCATCTCGGGCATGCCTGGTATCGGAAAGACTACCAGTGTGCTTTGCCTGGCGAGACAATTGCTCGGAGACACATACAAGGAGGCTGTATTGGAGCTCAACGCCAGTGACGAGAGAGGTAATGTTAAGAGATGTGTTCTGTCTGTGTCACATCCAATACTGACGCTCAAGCACAGGAATCGACGTCGTTCGCAACCGCATCAAGGGCTTCGCGCAGAAGAAGGTCACCCTGCCCCAAGGCCGCCACAAGCTCGTCATCCTCGACGAGGCCGACAGCATGACATCAGGCGCTCAGCAGGCCCTCCGCCGGACAATGGAAATCTACTCCAACACGACGCGCTTCGCCTTCGCCTGCAACCAGTCCAATAAGATCATCGAACCGCTGCAGTCACGATGCGCCATCCTCCGCTACGCCCGACTCACCGACGAGCAGGTCGTCAAGCGACTGCTGCAAATCATTGAAGCTGAAAAGGTGGAATACAGCGACGACGGCCTCGCGGCACTCGTCTTCAGCGCCGAGGGCGACATGCGTCAGGCCATCAACAACCTGCAGTCGACGTTTGCCGGCTTCGGCTTCGTGTCGGGCGACAACGTCTTCAAGGTGGTGGACTCGCCGCACCCGATCAAGGTCCAGGCGATGCTCAAGGCGTGCTACGAGGGCAATGTCGACTCGGCGCTCGAATGCCTGCGGGAGCTCTGGGACCTGGGGTACTCGAGCCACGACATCATCAGCACCATGTTCAAGGTCACCAAGACGATCCCGACGCTGAGCGAGCACTCCAAGCTCGAGTTCATCAAGGAGATTGGATTCACGCACATGAAGATTCTGGAGGGCGTGCAGACGCTGCTGCAGCTGAGCGGCTGCGTTGCGAGGCTCTGCAAGCTCAACATGGACCCCAAGAGGTTCGAGGCTGCCTCAAAATGAAGAATTGGCAGCCGATAGAAGACTCGCTGCTGGCGGGGCATAATGACTTGCATGATCCGGCGTTGGGGGTTAAATCAGGTCTGGGGTACCTTTTCTGTGTAGCTCGAAAAACAAAAAGTCAAGGGTTTGAATGTCCCATGTTAGGTATACAATACTATGAAATACAGCTTGAGATCAACTTTTGTCCCATTGAGAGTGTCCAATTTCGGTTTCAGTCGCCTGTGATGGTTACCGTTCATTTCTTCTCGTTAGGATCCTCATAAAATTCCCGCTCAAATCTCTCCCACTTAGCCCTATCCCTCAGAATGCGCTTCTGCAATCTGACGCGGGCCTCATACTCTCGTAACCTGTTGTCCGCCTCCAGCATGCTTCCCAGCACCATGGCCGACATTTGCATATAACTGCCGTGATTATGTCAGTCACATTTCATCCAAAATTACGAGACGAAGTGAATAAACACGCGAGTGAGATAGGAGAAAAAGGGGGAAAGGATAAGGGGGACTTGGGTAGTGTCGCGTGAGGTGACGTATTACATCTTGAACTGGATAGTGAGGCCCTTGTACAGCGGCGAGAACTTGTACGCAAAGGCGCCCACGACGGCGGCTCCGAGACCCCATCTCGCGGCGCCGATGAAGGCTCCCCGCGTAGCTTCCCACGCGGCGTCGTCGGCCTCGGCGCTCTTCATCTTGTCGTGCGTCGCCATCCTGCTGGCATTGTCGACCGGGGCGCCGGTCTGTCTCTGCGGAGAAGAGAGTTGATGACGTCGAGACCTTTGTGGTCCGTGAAAGTGACCCGTATGTAGGCGATGAAGGGAGGTGCAATTGAAGATATTCAGAAGCGAAAAAAGTCTGAGACTTTTGATTGGTGAGATCGTACGATTTTCACCGGGCGGGCTTCCTACCGGTACTATGTAGAGCTACCTTGTAAGGCGTGAAAGGTGAAGCTCTTGTCTTTTTTTTACTCCATCAATCGCCGAGGTGAGCAAGTTGGTACGGGCGGGTGGGACAAGAGCAGACGCCGAACATAATCCCTGCAGCGAGTCCCAGAGTCCCAGAGAGTGCCCCGGCGGCGCGCCCATCCTTGCAGTAGGAGAGCGCCTAAGCTCGATGCAGCCCCTGAACGAACACTCCCCCGATCCTGCAGGGACCCCTTCCCGCTATCGGAAGCTTATCAACTGCAACATCGAGTCTTATTGTTCAGACGGCTTTTGCAGGTTGTCGCAATGGATTCAATGGCGCGAGATGGATCTGTTGACGATGCTGAGAAGGAGATCCTGGAGCTGGAGGCACGCCTCAAGGCTGCCAGGGGAAAGTTGAACGATCTCAAAGGACATACAGAACTACCCGCCGAATCTCTACCGTCTCGAGGCATCTCATCAAAACCCTCATGTCAGTTCAACCCCAGCTACACATCTTCATAATGAGAACATCTCAAAACTATTCACAACCCAAGTCAACTAACACGAATTCAGTACCACCATCCCCCTCACAAACAAACCACTACCTCCTCCTCCTCTCAGACTCAGCCCTACCCCTCGGCTCCTTCGCCTTCAGCAGCGGCCTCGAGTCCTACCTAGCCCACACCCGGCCCCGCTCCTCCTTCAACACCTTCCTCCCGGAATCCATCTCCGCCTACGCCTCGACGACGCTGCCCTTCGTCCTAGCAGCGCACCGCTCCCCCTCCGACGTCGCGGAACTAGACGACGAGCTCGATGCCGCCATCATCTGCACCGTCGGCCGCCGCGCCTCCATCGCCCAGGGCCGCGCCCTCCTCTCCATCTGGGAACGCTCCTTTGCGTCCTCCCTCCCCGCCCCTGTTGTCGCGACTCTCCAGCCATACGCGGCGCTTCTCAAGACGGCCACCTCGTCGCGGGCAGTATCTGCGACTGCAGACGACCAGGCTGAACCCCCGCTTGTCTTCGCTCACCTGGCGCCCCTCTTTGGCGCAATCTGTAACCTCGTGGGCCTCACCCTCCAGCAGACGGCCTACATCTTCATGATGGGCCACGTCAAGGCCCTCATCTCAGCTGCCGTGAGAGCCAGCATGTTTGGGCCCTACCAGGCGCAAAAGGTGCTTGCGAGCACACAGGTCCAGCAACTCATTTCCGCCGCCATTGAGCGGGAGTGGAGCACGCCGGTTGAGAGAGCCGGGCAGACGATGCCGGTGATGGATCTATGGATAGGCAGACACGAGGTTCTGTATTCACGAATATTCAACAGTTGATTATTTATTGTTCACTCGGCTTCCCTACTTTCAATGTGTTTCCATTCTCAAATGGGGTATCATGATCGCTTTTATTCTTTCTTTCTCCTTGCCCCTTATTAATCATACAAAACCAACCACCCTAGGGCTCAGTCGGAATCATCGTCGCTGCCGTAGCCCACCAACGGCCCAGAAGACACAGCAACCTTTGGTTTCGACGCCACTGCGACCTTGGACGCGTTGAGGGCCGCCAGTGTGCTGCTGGAGAAGATCCCGCCAGACGCAATCGACGGCTGCTGCTGAAGCATAGGCAACCCATCGTACTGGTCCTGGCCGCCGTTCTCGAGCATAGGCCGCTCCTGGTACTCCACCTCGTGGCCCTCACGGCCGACGGGGTTCACGGCGTTGGCGCCCCGCGCGAAATGGACCTCGTCCGGCGCCTCGTAGCCCTCGAGCCCGTAGCTGCTCTCGATCTTCCTCCTCTTCCTGGCCTCCGGGTTCTTACCCTCGATCTCGGCCACGAACTCCGCGGGGAGCGCGCGTCGGACGGCCTCGGCGGCCTGCTCTTCGATCCGTCTCGCTTCGCGCGCCTGCGCCATCGGATTCGGGTCGGCGGTCGCCCATCGCACGTTGAGGATCTCCTCGTGGTCCAGAGACTGGTGCGCCATAGCCTCCTTGGCGAATTGTGCGTTAGCCTCGTTGGAGTATGTTATGAATGCGACTCCGCGAGTGTTGAGTACACGAACTAGTTGCAAAAAAGGTCAGCATGCGTCCAGGCGCGGAATTCCTACATTGAACTTACCTCGCTCAACTTGGCCCCATTCCGCAAAGTGACGCGCCACAATCTCCTCGATATCATCCGTGACGTGTATCCTTCCCACGTAAATCGTACGGTTCTGCCTCATAAAACTACCGACACCACCCATGTCGTCCCTGTAATCGGAGTGCTTGTCCCGGCCAAAGCAGTCGACGTTGGGGTTGAAGATGTCGTGGATGCCCGGCAGGCGGTGCAGGTACTCGCAGTCCTGGCCCTTGGGACATATTCCGCGCGCGAAGAAGAGACAAAAGTAGCTTCCCGTGACCTTGTCGGCCCTCGTGTATCCGCTGTCTTTGGCGACGTTGCAGCGGCCCTTTGCGTGCGTCTTGGAAAGGTACTTGTCCTCGCGGTCGCCGCCCGACCACTTGTTGTACCAGATGTTGAAGATTGTTCCCGTCTGCGGCGGCGGCTCCGAGGTGATGAAGGACGGGTCGACTTGCGGGCGCGCCGGCCTCTTCTTCTTCCTGATGATCTTTTTTACTTTTCGTTCTGTCGGCGCGGCGACCTCGGTGGTGGCTGTCGCCAGCGCTGTCTCCTGTGCGTTGTCCTCGGGCTCTGGGCCATCGACCTCCTCGGGTCGAGCTTGCGCGACTTCGTCCGACATAGTTGCGGTCTTGAGGGGTATTTCGATGCGGTGGATGTCGTGGTAGAGAGATGGTCAGATAGCTCGAGTGTGGATGGGTGCCTTTTGGATGGATGTCGACGACGGGGCAACAGTGAGCGCACGCGGCGAGGCTTGGAAATTTGTTATCGCGATAAAGCTGTGGCGCAGACCATGGCGCACTCTCAGTGGTTCGAGGGCGGTGAGTGGAGACCCTTGTCGCTCCAACGCAGCCCCGCGGTAAATTCTGCCACACGGTTCACTCTTCCTATGCCTTGGGAGGTCGACCTGCCCCACCATGAACTTGCGAAGCCGACTCTCGTCGATCAGAAAGCGAAGCGCTTATTGCTCATCACCATCTTTTTGATTTATAGGACTTGTCAGAGTCTCAGGACTTTGAGCTCATAAATCGCCAAGATGGTGAACATTACGGAAAAGATCAAGGAGTACGGAAACCCCCCTACCTCCACCACGACGAAATCGAAGCGAGCGGGAGGCTGATGATGCGCCACTAGGATTGAGGATGAGATGAGAAAGACCCAAAGTAAGACGCATCCTCTCATGCCTTCGGGTCATTTCTCAAAAGTCATTTCATCTACATTCTGGCCAACTTGGAGAGACTCGAAGGATCGACGGGAAATGAGAATGGCCTTTCTACAAGTTGATCGTGAACATGACCGGAGAGAGAGATGACCGAGCGCAATGTTGCATTCGCATAGAATTCTTGCTGACTTCCTATAGAGAACAAGGCGACTGGTATGTTTGTCAAATAAGCCGGATCAAGCAACAAATCATGATTAACAACAGACCTTCAAAGAATATCATCTTGGTCTCCTAAAGGGGTAAGTCCTCAGCTACCACAACTCAAAATCCTTTCTCACAAACACACAAAGTAAACTCGCCCGTCTCCGAGCACAACTCCTCGAACCAGGCCCAGGAGCAGGCGGCGGCGGCGGCGCAGGCTTCGACGTCAGCAAATCCGGCGACGCTCGAATAGCCCTCGTCGGCTTCCCCTCGGTCGGCAAATCCACCTTCCTCTCCAAGGTCACGCGGACGAAATCAGAGGTGGCCTCGTACGCCTTCACGACCCTCACGGCCATTCCGGGCGTCCTCGAGTACGGCGGCGCCGAGATCCAGCTGCTCGATCTGCCGGGTATCATCGAGGGCGCCGCCGAGGGCAAGGGTAGAGGACGGCAGGTCATCTCGGCGGCCAAGACGAGCGACATGATTCTCATGGTGCTGGACGCGACCAAGAAGGCGGAGCAGAGGGCGCTGCTCGAGGCTGAATTGGAGGCCGTGGGCATCCGTCTCAACAGAGAGCCACCGTAAGATGATGATGTTTCCTCTTCCCCTATTCGTTCGAGTCTGACGAAACCGTGGCAGAAACATCTACCTCAAAGCCAAAAAAGCAGGCGGCATGAAAATCACCTTCCAGTCCCCTCCCAAAAACATGGACGAGAAAATGGTCTTCAACATCCTCCGCGACTACAAGATCCTAAACTGCGAGGTCCTCGTCCGCGACGAGTACGCCACCGTCGACGACCTCATCGACGTCATCATGAAGGACCACCGAAAATACATCAAGTGCCTCTACGTCTACAACAAGATCGACTCCGTCTCCCTCGACTTCCTCGACAAGCTCGCCCGCGAGCCCCACACCGTCGTCATGTCGTGCGAGCTCGACCTCGGCATCCAGGACGTCGTCGACCGCTGCTGGGAGGAGCTCAAGCTGATCCGCATCTACACCAAGCGCCAAGGCGCCGATCCGGATTTCAGCGAGGCGCTCATCGTACGAAGCAATAGCACCATCGAGGACGTGTGCGACCGCATTCACAGGACGCTCAAGGATACCTTCAAGTACGCGCTCGTCTGGGGTGCGAGTGCTAGGCATATCCCGCAGAGAGTGGGACTCGGGCATGCGGTGGCGGATGAGGATGTGGTTTGCGTCGTGAGCGCGTGGAAGGCATGAGAAATGAATTCATCAGATGAAAAATAAGAAATGGGTTTAAAAAGGTTACGAGGAATTGTGAATTCTGCTCATACCGACCGACAATCTTGCGGTGGCTGATGAATACAGTCCTTCTAGAATCCTAGTCGTGGAGAAGCAAAAGAAAAGCCTGATATCGTTTCGTGTCATGTCATGGTGTAGTACAACCCAACCCCTTATCCTGGAGTCAGACTTCGGTCTACCCGTAAAACGCCAATGAACCCTATCCCACCCTCAAAAACAGCCCGGAAAAGCCAGCAGAGGCGCAAATTCAATGTCTCTTTTCCCAAAAGATGGAAGAGACAAAACTAGTAAAACAACCCGCGAGCCAATCTCATTAGTGAAGTGAAGCTTTTATGTTGTTTTGTCAGAAGAAGATGCGACGACGCTGCCTAGAAGGCACTGTCTTTGGTAGGCGTGCCTGCTTGGTCGCCGAACACGGCGGCGTCGCTTCTGAGCTTCTTGGCAGAAGTCTGGGCGAAGAGAGACTTGGGCTTGACCCTGTTGGATAGAGAGATTAGCATTTGTTAGACTTTGACAGGAGTAGACAATGTCGGTAGACTTCATGGTTGTTGTGGGAAGATGGCATGACTTACTTGCCAACCTGCTTGTTGCGAAGGGCGCTGAGCTTAGCGGTGCAAGGGCTCATGATGTTGTCAGATGGCGAGATGTACGTCTTGGACCTATCGAGGACAATGGAGTTTAGAGTTTTGTTCTTGTTACTGCTGCGAGGCTGTAGTTTGTCGTACTTCTCTTGGGCCATCTTGTTCTGCAGGACCTGGCGGTGGTACTCCATGCTCTTGAGGTCCTTGGTGGACTGAGGGTCACTGACCACGACGGTGGCGTTGACGTCCTTGTCGCCGAGTACGTTGGGAGACATGTTTGCTTGAGGTTTGAGTGGTGTGGTGGTTTGGTTTGGTTGCTGTATATGCAATGCGCAATGCTAAGCTTGTGCTGGATACTCTGAAGGTGGTTCTACTGCTCGATGTGTGTACAGAAGACGTGAAGCTGAAGGCGCAAAGTGTGTGTTTGAATGTCTGTGTATGGATGGATGGATTGTTCTGGTCTGGTTTGCAGTGGGATGGTAAAGGAAGATGGATGTGTAAAGTATTGGTGGTGGATTTGGATGGTTTGTGGTCTGTGGCTTGGGTCCCAATGCAGAGAAGGAAGAAGGTCTTTGTACTTAACGGGTGCTTGCGCTGGAGCACAGGATTTACCGTGGAGTGTTTATGACGTTCGTGAATGGATGTGAAAAAGATGCACGCTCTTCCCTCTCACTTGGAAAGCAACGAAAAGGCCCTGTCTGGCACACGTTGGGTGGTAAAGTGGGTGGAGCAGTTGCCGGGTGTCGAAGTAAACGAATTTTCTGGGATGTTGACGGGGCAACGGGCTAATCGAAACGGCGACGGCGCTGTGGGAAACTGCAGTCTGCAGATAATAGTGCAGGGGTTCAGGGGTGGGAAGGAATGCGGGTCCTCGGCCTAACTTGCCAGGGGACGACGCTACCTTACTTACCACTTACCCATCACTTTGCAGTATGTATCCGTACTCCGTATTAAGGAACAAAAGACACCAAGAGACACCGAGCCTTTGTCAGTCAGGAAGCTGTGACCATCGGCCGTCGCCCGTGTGATGGACAGGTGTGGATGGGATGCGCTGTCAGGCTTCCCTTCCCTTTCCATCCTTTCCTTCTAGATTACTAGTGGGCTTCCTGGGCAACCCAGCACCCCGGACCTTATGTTGCCAGCTATGGTTCCTTGCCATTACATCCTTTTCGCCCATCGATTCTGTACAGCAAAGCAGTCGAGAGCTACGGCAATGCTTGCTTACCTTGCTACCTAGTTCTCGGTCTGTGGAGTGTCTCTGACCCCATCTCCCGTCCCACCGGGGAAAGAGAGAGGTTGCATCTGTGGTCAATGCTGCCGGCATGAACGGTCCTGAGCTGTCCAACGTGCCCATCTCCAAGGTGACTAGCAGCGTCACCTCCCGGACCTTAATGCCGCAGGATCTCTTGAACTACTCAATTCCACATGGCCAGACAATGGGGTACTAGTGTGACTCAGAGAACATGGAGCGGCGGCGGGCCAACGGGTTGCAGATCACTTCTCTCATCCCAATTGTCAATCCTATCTGGGGAGGGACAGGGCCTAGACTGACCCAAGGCCTGTCATTCACGACGTTGTACACAAAAAGATATCATTCAACTATACAAAAACGCCTAGCTGGCGACGCGACGCGACGCAACCTCACAGCTTGGACTTGGTAATCTTGGCCCCAGGTTGGAACGTCGAGGTCTTGTACTGCGCATGCAGCTGCTCCGTCTTCTGCTTCTGCCACTGGATCTTGTCCGTGACCTCCTTGCCCCTCTTGTTCTCGTTCTTGCCAAGCTGCTGCAGGTGCACTTCGTCCGGTCCGTCAGCGAGCCGCAGCGTGCGAATGTTGGCCCACATGCTCGCCAGCGGCGTGTCCTGGCAGACACCGGCCGCGCCAAACGACTGGATGGCGCGGTCGATGACGGTCAGCGCCGTCTGCGGGACGAGCACCTTTGCCTCGGCGATCTCCTTGAGCGCCTTCTTGGGGCCAAGGTCGTCCATCCTGATGGCCGCGTTGAGGACCACCAGGCGGGCGGCGTCGATTTCGATGCGGGACTTGGCTACCCACTCGAGGATGACGCCGTGCTCCTTGAGCTGCTTGCCGAACGGTGTCTTGGTCGGGTCATTGATGCGCATCAGCATCCACTCGAGAGCTCGCTCGGCCTGGGGAGATGTACACGTTAGTCTATAGCCGTCACACACAAACTTGTGGATGGACCTACTGCTCCAATGGTACGCATGGCGTGGTGGATGCGACCGGGACCAAGTCTGCCCTGGATAATCTCAAAGCCGCGGCCCTCGCCGAGCACCAAGTTGCTGGCAGGGACTCTGACGTCCTTGAAGCTAACGTGACCGTGGCCGTGGGGCGCATCGTCGTAGCCGTAGACCTGCAGCATGCGGTGGATGGTGATGCCCTTTGTGTCCGCGGGGACGAGGATGACGGACTGTTGCCTGTAGGGGTCCTTGTTGTTTGCGTCGCTCTTGCCCATGACGATGTACACCGAGCATCTGGGGTCACCGGCACCGCTGGACCACCATTTCTACTGTCATGTCAGCAATGAAACTCCAGAACGCTGGAACACGCGTAGGGCCCCCCAACGTACTGAGCCATTCAGGACGTATTCGTTGCCCTCCTTGCGCATGCTGAGCTGAATGTTGGTCGCGTCCGACGAGGCAACCTCGGGCTCCGTCATCAAGAAAGCGGAGCGGATCTGGCCCTCCATCAACGGCTTGAGCCACTTTGCCTTTTGCTCCTCGTTTCCGTACTTGGCCAGCACCTCCATGTTACCCGTGTCGGGCGCGGCGCAGTTGACGGCCTCGGAGGCGACGCGCGACTTGCCGAGCCACTCGGCCATGAGGCCGTACTCGAGATTCGTGAAGCCGGGCGACTCCTTGTAGTGGCCCTTTGGCAAGAACATGTTCCACAGGCCCAGCTTCCTGGCCTTGACCTTGAGGTCGTCGACGATGGCCGGGTGGTGGTCCCATCTCGCGTCGCCCTGGCCGATCTGGGCGTCTAGGACGGGGTCTGCTCTGCACACAGGAAATAGGATGTTTAGTCCCGGTGGACGAAGCGAGACGGCGTTTTTTGGGGTAGTAGATGGAGATTTTGCTTACGGGATGCACTCTTCTTCGACAAACTTGGCCACGAGATCAAGCGCCTCTTTGGCGCGATCGCTGAGGCGATCCAGGACCTGGAAGGCGGTGACAGCTGGGTCAGCGATGCTGTTGCGGTTTCCAAATTTTAGGTACCTGAGCTGGGATGAAGCTCTCCCCGCACTAGCGACTTACGATGGCTGGGACTCTGGACGTCATCTTGGGGGAAAATGTGAGCGAGGCGAATTGAGGTGAACGGTACAAGATTGATTCGTCTCAGAGTTGGGAATTTGCGAGGTTTTGGAGATATGGAAGAGTACAGAGATGCAGAAAATGGGGAACAACGTCAATTGGGCATGGATATCTACTCCCTTTTTGAACGAGGAGTGTTTAGTCTCATCGTACGGTAGACGAGCGATGGGACGAGCCGGCAAGCCGAGGTTGAGTCTGGAGCTGCCTAGGGAGTAGGGACCCCCAAAAGGTGGGGATCCTGGGGTAGCCGCCTTTGAACCTCCGCCTCCGCCCTCTGCGTCTGAGAATGGCCCCAGGTCCCTCCCCAGATTTGTAGCGGTGGGTTTCTGCCGTATAGCTGGGCTCATCCTTTGGGTTGACTAGCCATATCTACTCAGAGGGCTGAAAAGATTCCTTACCTAGATCACATGGATAGCTTATTGCCAAACTGCTCATAAGGTGGGTTGAGGTGGGTTCGAAACGGACTTCATTTCCAGGGCGATAGAGGCAGATTCCGGTCCTATCGTAAGATTACCTAGATACCTGTCTTAGGGTCACCCCGGCCCACGATCAATTACCTACTAAGGTAGCTTCAGGACTCACTGTTGGTGTTCAGTGACAGTCCCTCCTGATTAGAACTGTTCCCCGGCACTCATTAATTCTCACAAAACTGAAAGTACGGACACCCCGTAAGGATAATGCGGTGGTGCCACTTCGGCGCGTCACCGTTGCGGGGGAGCGCCAGTCGTGCCGGCCTCCAATAGCAGTGCCCGCACCCAACCCCGATGCCTCGGCGCGGTCTTCAGGCCGGCGGGATACTTTCCCGGTGCCTTGGCTCACTCTTTCCTGTGGTACGCAATTCCGAATCCCTTGCGCTTACAACATTTCGATGCCGTCGACGACACGAATCAAACGATATAGTAATTATTCAATTGGCTGGCTGGTCTATTTCCTTGACAAACAATGGCCAAGTACCTGCCTTTTAGACGCTCTTCTAATATGACAATGCTTCAAGCTCTCTCTACCTAAAATCTAGGCCTTTTATTTCCCCAATCCGTTGATTTACCACGTCCCTTTTATGTGCGGTAGTCACCGTTGATGGTAATGTACTCGTGACTGTAATCGCAAGTCCAGTATGTTGCCTCCTTGTCGCCAGTTCCCAGCCTCACCAAGATCTCTAGATCCTCCAGCTCCAAAATCTCCGAGGCCCTGGCCTCGTCGACCATCTCCGGCTCGCCGTTGACCAAGAGCTTCAGCTCAGGCGTGCCGTCGGTAGGGACGAACGAGACGTTGGTCTTCTCGGGCGTGACCTCGGGGACGTCATTGACGGCCTGGCCGGGCTCCGACACGAGCGAGTAGCCGGTCGCGCACAGGATGCGGCCCCAGTTGGCGTCCCGCCCGTACAGCGCAGTCTTCACGAGGGGCGACCTGGCAATGGTGCTGGCAATCTTGCGCGCGGCCTCCTCGCTGGCGGACTCGACGACGCGGATGGTGACGAACTTGGTGGCGCCCTCGCCGTCGCGGACGATGAGCTTGGCCAGGTCGATGGAGAAGTCGGTCAGGACCTGCTGGAAGGCGGCGTAGTCGGGTGAGTCCACGGAGGAGATTTCCTTGCCGCCGGCAGCACCGTTAGCGAGCAGAGCGAGAGTGTCGTTGGTCGAAGTGTCTCCGTCAATGGTGATGCTGTTGAACGAGCGGTCGACGGCGTGCTTGAGGACGGAAGGCATGACAGCGGGCGAGATGGGCGCGTCCGTGGCAACAACTCCGAGAAGGGTGGCCATATTGGGGTGAATCATACCCGCGCCCTTGGTGGTTCCAGCGATGCGGTATTCAACATTTGGTGACGAAGGCAGCGTGAAGGTCTTTGACATGAGTTTCGGGAACGTATCGGTCGTGCAGATGGCGGTAGCAAAGCTCAGCCAGTGCTTGTGAGAGGAGCCCAGAGCTCCCTGGGCAGCTGGGACGTTATCGACAATCTTGGCAATGGGCAGCCTCTGTCCAATGACTCCTGTGCTCATGACAATGGTGGATGACGCATCGCCCTCTCCTCCGACAACCTTATCGGCTGCGCTGGCCATCAGAGAAGCATCCTCGAGACCTCCCTTTCCAGTGACGGCATTGGCGCATCCCGAGTTGATGAGAACGCTGCGGATGCCGCGGTTGGCCTTCTTCTTGAGTAAGTCCCTGCTGAAGGTGACGGGCGCCGCCTGGAACTTGTTCTTGGTGAAGACGGCGGCGGCGGCACAGGGCCGGTCTGAGCTGAGAAGAGCGAGATCGGGCTTCGTCTTGTTTCCCGGCTTCACGCCAACGAGAATACCAGAGGCCTGGAAGCCCTTGGGATAGGTGCCCTCCGTCGGGACGTACTTCTTCTTGGCGGCCGGAATGCTCTCGGCGGAGACTGAGTAGCACCTCACGAACTGAGCCAAGTGGCCGGGAAACCTCTTGACGGGTTGCGCCATTCTGACAATTGGCGACAGCCCAATGCTGTGACTAAAAGGACCTGGAGAAGAGAGGAAGCTCGAGAGCCAATTGGCTCAGGTACGGCTTGCTGTGATGCTGGAGTTGTGTGAGTTTCCTGATGAGAGAATGTTAGTCACTAGGGAAAGAGGTGAGAAGAGAGATTTAGACGACGCAAGGTGTGCGATAACGGCAGTCGCCCATTTTTCTTGACAGGGATGGCACAGTGCCGCACTGCAAAAGGCGTATTGAGACCAGTACCGATCCTGGCGGCTTGTTCTGACGCTGCAGCTCACGTTCAATTCGACCGAGTCATACCTTGGGTCAGTTTGCACTTTTGAGACTGCCGACTCATGTCTCGCTCTACAATGGAATCCAATTGTCTCCTAGGAAGTTAGAAAGTCAAAGGAAAACAGATGATTACCTGCTGCGCGGTACCTTGTTGCAAGTTCGTCGAGACTTACCTGTTGGAAGGGTCTCGGCTCGGAATTCAGACCCCTGCAGCCAGTGAGATCGAATGGCGGGGAGCGGGCCCACTCGAGCTTATCGCATCCGCCTCGGTGAGCTTATCGCTTCCCAAGCATAGAAAAAAATTCTAAGAAAGTCGCACCTTTGGTCCCTCCAACCACCACCCAGCCGAGTCGCGACACGCTCCAATTGTATAATCCAAACCCGCCACAACCCGCAACAAGAAGACACTTCGCGTCACCGTCTTCGCAGAAATGGCGCCCAACAAGACGAGAACGATTAAGAACAAGCACGCCGCCAACGGCTCCGGCATCAAGAACAGCAAGGCCGCGGACAAGAGGCCCGTTCCCGATGGCATCGTTAGGAAATCCAGAGACACGCCCAAGGGCACCAAGCCCCTCAAGGCCGGCGGCAAGACGAATCTCGAAGCCCTGCTGAAGAAACGCAAGAAGAAGATCTACACGGAGGAAGAGCTCGGCATTCCCAAGCTGAACAAGATCACGCCGGTCGGCGTGGAGAAGCCCAAGGGCAAGAAGAAGGGCAAGGTCTTTGTCGATGACAGAGTACGGCTCCCCAGCGCTTCCGTTTCTTGCAGACTATTTTAACAACTAATCTCACCCGAACAGGAGAGCATGAACACCATCCTCGCCATGGTTCAGGCCGAGAAGGAGGGCCAGATCGAGTCCAAGATGATGAAGGCGAGACAAATGGAGGAGATCCGTGAGGCCCGCCGGGTAGAGGCCGAGAAGAAGGAAGAGGAGAAGAAGAACAGGCTGGAGGAGACCAAGGACTCGCTGCGCAAGAAGAGGAAGCGCAACCCCCGCGCCGAGGACGAGGACAAGATCAGCCAGTACGCGACCGCGGGGTCAAAGGCCGCCAAGCCCAAGGCGAAGAAGAAGAGCGTCTCCTTTGCGTGAGTGAAGAAGATGGGGGGATTTTGGGAGCACTTAAGCAGCATGTCTTTGCATCTTGGGCGGCGTTCGGGAGTGCCAAAAAAGAAAACATATTGGGTTTGTAAAAAGTTGGGAGGGGAAACGTCTTCTGATTCGTCTGTTTGTTTTATCCCTCTGTTGTGTCGACGGCGTTCAGAGCAGATACCACGGCGAGGGCTTGACCTTGCACGAGAGCTTAATGCACCACAATAGGACAGCGGTCAGCCAGGTGTTGCCAAGATGTGAATTGCATATCTTACCGTTGCAAATACCTGTCCGAATACTATCCTGTTTCATAGCTTTGTCCGCTACTGCGAATGCCAATGAAAAGCAGGTGTACTTTTTCTATCTACGCCATCTAAGTCTATACTGATACAAATTCTGTCCCCATGTCTATTATGTCCCGCGCTATTCTGCGGCTGCCTTGATCTCCATTCTGTGTCTCGCAGGGGTGAAGTGGAACTCTGACTTGCCGTTCCTAGGTGGAAGTCCATTGGTCTTCGGAGGTAGCTGGCTGTGGTCCACGTTGAACGCCATGTGGTTGAAGAAGTTTGAGACCTGATCTCGTCAGTTCGTCATTTCTCAAAATTCTCGGAATGATAGGACGTACCGGCTTGGCATGCCATCTTCCGCCTCCGGGCTCAAACCAGCAAAGGTGGCCGCCTAAGGAGGTGGTGCACAAAACCGTGTACGGGTTCTTGCTGAATTCCTCGTAAGGGATGGCTTCTTCTACTGCAATCTGTAAAGTTTAGTCAGCTTGCCTTGAATTTGGGGGAGGCTGGGTTAGAGTGGTCGCTTACAGGATCGTCGGTAGCATGCAGGGCGAGGAAGGGGATCCGAATGGCCAAGACCGCGTCGCAGGAAGACGCATCGCGGTAGTAAGCACTCTCTGTGGGGTAGCCCCAGCTGACGCATCTGCGATTGTGAGAAATGGTCTGCGGGATCGGTGGCATATGGAGACTCACTGGACTTCTCTGTCAAACTCCCATAGGTACGTCACGTTCTGGAGACGTTCAAGGTCGAGGTTCGTGTGCTTCTGTACCTCCTCCTTGTGTCCATTGATCAGCTGCTTCATGCTAGCTAAATAGGCGTGTAAGTACTGAGGATCAGACTCGCATGTTGCGTGATGAGAGCAACTTACTTCCCATAACTCGTTGATAGACCTCTCTACCAAGGAAAGTGCGCTTCAATGCCTTGTTGGAGACTTCAAGGTTGAAGGGATTGGAGCACGCGATAGCGGCCGTCAACTGGCAGTCAACGCCCTCCTCGCCACAGTACTTAAGTAGAAGAGTCAGTCAACGTGAGAAGGGTATGATGTGAAACTATCAACCTACGTTTGTCAACATGTTGGCGCCGAGTGAGAAGCCCAAGCCAAATAGAGGGCGGTTGGGGAACTTCTTTCTCAGCCACTTGATGGTCTGGGCCGATTGTCAGTTGATCTCCTGCAAAATATGATAAGCAGCGAATGAGTTACTGACCTGACGGAAGTCCCATGTTGCTCTAGCATTGTACAAGATACCACTCGTGAATTTGCTGTTGGCGCATCCTCTCGAGTTCACCACGCACACCTCCCAGTTTCCCGAGTCGATCAACGGCGCAATGGCGTGTCTCAGGTAAATCTCATGAGAGCCACCCGAGAGGCCGTGGAGAACGACCAATTGGGGCCGGTTGTCGTCCGATGCCAGAGTCTCAAACTCCTGGTCCTCAAAGTACACCGTCCGCGGCGGCAAGGTGCTATCGGTCTCCTCGAAGGGCTGCGCCACGAAGTCGACGGCAAACGTGCCTTCGAAGGCCTTGTCGTCGGCGTGGAAGACCTTACGACGATAGTACACTGGTGGGCCGTGCTGCTTCGTGGCAGTCCACATGGTCTGCAAGTGGCCGTTGAAGAGGAGCGGGTTCATGTGGCATGGCGGCGTGACCTTTTCACAAATTTTGAGGAGGTCAGTTTGGGCGCCATCCCTCTCCTTGAGAGCCACAGGCGAAGGCGCGTGTGTGAAGTTGATTTTGGCGTGTCCTAGCCAGTCCATGATTCGGAGTCTTCGGACAGCAGTTGATCGAGACAGTTTGGCTTGAGAGAAAGTTTGCGATAGCAAAAGGCGAAAAAGTCCCTTCACTAGATAACACAGCAGTCAATGTCAGAATGCTGAGTGAAAATTAACGAGAGAATCAGTCGTACGACGTTATGAAGAGGCTAGGGATTGTAGAAAAGACTGAAGTGCAGATGGGGATATTGCGAAGTCAAAGTGAATTCTCATGCGAGGATAGTTGGAGAGCCATAAGTCATGGCAGTGGAGCCCCGAGGACTGGTAGCTTCCGATTTAAGGTACTAGGTATACAGGTTCACAATGTTGGCTACGGACCTTGGGTCCCAACTTCAAGTCCTAGGGGGCGAACCAACGGGCCATTTGTCTTGAATTGGGTGTAGGACCGAGAGTCTGAAATCAGCCTACCATGATAGATCGGCGCCGGGTTCACCAAGTGTCCGTTCTGCAGCGGGATTCAGTGGTATGTCTGTACGACAGCAGATTTCAAGCTTGATAAAAGTAGGCGAATGACGTGGATCACCTATGAAGGTATCCCGTAGCGGTTAAGAAAGCAAGATGGATTCGGCATCGAGCCGAGGCACAAGTTGACAGCCAATTAGAATACAAAGTGGACCGACTCGACTCGTAACCGTACCCAGAGGCTAAGACTGTGTTCAGCCACGCAGTGCCACACTCATCGGAATTCCAAAAGTTCAGAATTTCAGTACGAAGTGTCCGCCTAAGGTAGGTAGCCATCCGCCCATCCTTACGTATGCCTTTTTGGGGCAAGACGGAGCCACCATGGTCTGTGCATCTCCCAACCTGATCGGAACCGTGGGGGGGATCCACGGCACGTGGAATTATGTAAGGCACGCAGGGACCATGGGCCAATGCTCGACCAGTCGTTCCTCGAGGAGCCTCGCGACCTGCAGGTGCGGCTATTGGACAGCAACCGCGTCGCAACAAGTCAGTCCAGTTCAACGAAGCGATCGTCGAGATTCCATGTAGTGAAGCCTGCGATCCCTATGCAGTCCCAAAGATGACATACCGGGGCTCCTTGCCTTCGGGGCAGGCCTTCAGTGGCCAGCAGCACGTCCCCCAACCCTACCACGATCCCTACGGCAATAGCAATGGCAATGGCGGCGGGAGTGGGAATGGCCAGAACCAAAACTACGCGAACGCTGCATACGGCAGTCACGGCCAAGTTCAACCGATTCACGGCAGTTACCACCATCAACCGCCTGCCCAAGCTCCGGCTCCTATCCTTCCTGCGCCTACGCCGATGAATATGCAGGCGAACGGATATGGGCAGTTCCCTGCGTATGGCGGCACCTTCCCGCAGCAGCAACAACAGCAGCAGCCGCAGTACCCCCACCATCACCAACTCCAGCAGCCCTTTCCTCACGGGAATACGATGAACGTACAGTTTGCGCCTCCTCATTCGCCCTTTGTTCAAACCACACACGCCTCTCGTTCTCCTGCGCTTGCGCCTGCACCGACACCGACACCGACGCCGCCAATTTACGCTGAGTATCAGCCAACGCAGCAGCCGCAGCAGCCGCAACATCAACCGCAATTTCAACCTCACTTCCAGCAACAGCCTCAGCCGCCGCCTCAAACACCGCAGCAGCTGCAGCAGCTACAGCAACAGCGTAGCCCCCAAGTCTTTCCGGCGGTACCGCAATATGCGCAGTTCTCTCAGCCGCCCATGGGTCAATCTCAGGCCGTGCCAGTCCTGAATCAGACTTTCGCAGAGCCTTCTCCAGTTCAACCGAGTCCCGAGCCTCACTTCACAAACTCGCCAACTGTACAGCCGGCACGATCACCTAGCATAGCTAGAAAGTCACCTGCGATATCCTCGATGAACTCTCCGGCCATATCTTCTAGAGGCTCTCCCGCCTTATCGACGAAAGCAAGGTCTTACGACACGACGACGATCCTTGTTCACGTGGCAGAAGAGTGTTTCGAGAAGGCGCGCCGTGGTGTACAAAGAGTAGCGGTATCTGGGTCAGACGAGCAACTACGCGAGTACCAAAAGTTGATTACAACTGGTCTGGCATGTCTCGAGGCTGCATTCCAAAGCAATCGTCTGTCTCCGAGACAAGAGGCGAAAGCAAGATTGAGATATGCGTCTATATTGTGTGATGAGACTGAGAATCTTCAAGAGGCAGAAACAGCCTTGAGCAAGGGCATCACTATCTGTGACAAGGTATGTTGAATTGGATCGTTACTCGCTCGAATCTTTTGTTGACATTCCTTCCAGCATAGATACGCCGATCTCAAGTACTGTATGCAATATCTTCTGCTTAAGGTACTTTTTCAGAGGAACCAGAAGGCAGCGTTCATCGCCGTTGACAAAAACATTGCGGACTGTCTCACGTGCGTAACCTTCCCTTGATCGATATTGGCCCGTTGCTTACAAAAGTACTAGGTTCAAACATATACACTGGGTTTACGCCTTTCGTCTATTGAAGGCTACGTTCCATGTCCATGCGGGTAGTCCACCCGATGCGGCAGTGCTGGACAACTTGCGCGCTCTTGCCGTTTTAGCGGGCGAGCGAGGGGATAACGCCATGGTTGTCTTCGCCTCCCTCTTGGAAGGCTTGTCGGTGCTGAGGAACATGCGCCCTGACACCATCGAACGAGTGCAAACTTGTCTGGCGCAAGCCACTAAGTTTCAACTGGATCCCTCCGTTCAGATTCCGCAGCTGGATGTTTTGATGCTGTTGCTCGACCTTGCGTGTAGCATGCACCAGAAAACGCCCGATATCTTGATTCACAAACTGAGAACACTTCAAGCAAAGCTTGATGCAAACTTAGGATCCCAAACCTGGACCGATCTAAACCCCGAGATCTTGATCCCTGTCAAGAAGCACAACTCAACCTCGGCAACCCTCAGCGATGATACCTCTGCAATCCTCCGATCTGGGCCAGCAAACGGGCAACACGACTACATTGTTATGACTTTCCTGAACCGACTGGAGATTATAGTATTGACGTAAGTACAACACAATTGCGCCGTCTTTGTCAGTTGTTAACTAACCGGCAACAGCTATACATTCAGTGGTTTAGCCGGCATGTATCGCCCTGGTTCGGATCCTAAGAGGAGTCACGAATTCTGGAAGGAGGGATTCGATGTATTGGCAAAATGTAAGTGCGGCTTGTGTTCCCAGACGTGCATGAAGCTGACGCAACACAAGGGAACAAGGAGATAGCCCCCAGTGTTCCTGCAGCATCCCTACGCGAGTCGATGGAGCAGGCTAAATGGAGGACCGAAATCTTCTGTTACTTACAAGCTCTGACGGGGCTGTACTTTGCAACCCACAGTCAATGGCCAAAAGTCGAACAGTGCGTGGCACAACTGCAGCAGGCTATCACACCAGCTGTGAACGAAATCTTTAGCGTATTCTCACTATACCTCTCCGGGGTCTATCATCAAGGCACCGGTGATTTGGAGACTGCTCTATTGTTGTTCGAAGACGAGAGGTTGGGTATCGATGCAGGCCGTGGGGGTTCAGGTGGCAGAAAACCTGCTAAGCTGGAGCTGTGCATACTTGCTGCGCTGAACCGTATCTGGATCCTTCAAGATTCATCTTACCGCGACGAGATGACATCTACTGAGCTATTGGACCAGTTGCGGCCGATGTGTACGGAACACCAAGATCCAGACATCCGTACCGCCTTCAATCTCGTACAGGCAACGGCTCAGACGATGCCCCCGCCATCTATGCACCAAATCAAAACGAGTATAACGAACTCGTTGAATGGGTCTCGGGTGACAGGTAACACGCACTGTCTGGCGATAGCCCTCAGCATCATGCGGTCCAGACTGTTCGATAATGTAGTGGGCGAACAAGCTCTGAAAAGCGCAAGGGCAGCCTCGACACAGGCGAAGCGGAGTGGAAACTTGCTTTGGATGAGTGTGGCGGACGGTATGCTGGCGGATTCTTTTGAAGTCCAAGCACTCTTTGCAGACGCCGAAGCAGCGCGGCATACAGCCACGGACTATGCGTCTCACGCATTCACTGGGAAGGAGTAGTGGGTTCGGGCTCAGCGTGGATCATGTTTTCACGGCATTATGGACTGGCGTCTGGTGCGGTATTTGGCCTGGCATGAGCTGATTGTTTGGGAAAGCATAATACCCCCCAATTTGTACCGCTGCCAGATGATGCGGCGAAATTGACTGGGAGAGATGGAATTGTTGCTACACACGCCGTAAGGTTGTTATTCTTTAGAAAGTTGATGGGCTATACGGCTTCAGCCTATCAACAACTGCTACCTCGATTCCTCTCGTGATTTACATCAAGCTCGCCAACATCTAAGTATGGCAAGGTAAGATAGGTAACAGGACACTACTTAGTTCTTGAGCGACCAAGATAGTGTTTTTTACTACCTCCTTAACTGCCCGAGGTGAGCTACCGGTACCCCAAGGTAGGAAGGCAAGAAGGGAGTTAAGGTAGACAGGGGGCCAGGGTTTTGCTCACAGGCATGCGATCTGCGCATGCACGGACCAAGATTCCTTTGGACCCTGGTCGCAATTGATTAAACTGTGGCGCGTCCCGTCCGCGTTCCGTTCTACCTAATAGAAAAAAATTGACCAGCAGCTTTCTAGCCCACTTCAAACTCCCCGTCAACGTCCAAGGCTACAAATCGTCACCTTTTTTCCTCAATGCTTCGTGCAAACACCCTGCGCCTTCAAAGGCTGGGAAACTCCTACGTTTGTGCGTCCTGCCGGCCCTGCCTTTTAGCACCATGTCGGACGCGACCCTCTTTCTTCCAGACCACTCCCCTGGTTGGCGACCGAGGCTATAGGGTGAGTAGCTCGAACAAGAACTCGACAGCAACGCCAGGCCCAAAAGACGATGCAGAACACAGCAACGATGCAATACCCGATGCCGAAGTCAATGTTATGAAAGATGCCCAGGTCAAGGCTAAGAGCGGCTTGGAACCTAGGAGCAAAGAGAAACTTAAGGGCAATACGGAACCTCGGAGCGATGGGAAACCTCGGAGCGACACGAAGCCCAGGGGCGGACGGACGGCAAAGTCAATGAAGCCGACACCCAAGAAAACTTCCTCTAAAGCTCAATCGAAGGCTGGGACACCTTCAAGCAGGAAGACGTCAGCCAAACAAGGAAAGCCCACCGATAGCGAGAAGCCGGTCGACTCCCAACCAGCACCCGAGGTTATAAAGCAGGTTTTTGAGTCTCTGAAGAAGCTCGAGCACAGCTACGCCTCCATCAACAGTAGGCTGTCGAATATCAAAGAAGGCACCACGGAAGCGACTGCCGAAGGAGCCAAAGCAGGTTCTGGGAAGAAGGGAGAATTGGACGCATTCGTGGCGAAACAGAGCGACAAGTTGGGTGGGAAGCTCAAGATGATTTCTGGCACTCTGGACGTTCTGAAGAGCGTCTTGCGCTCGCAGTCAATACCCCTCGACCACCTCGCAAAGAGGCCAAGTGCCACGAAATCGTCGGGCACCACATCAGGTGACACTGCTAGGCCCAAAGGCCAATCTCGGCAAGCTCAATCTCAGTCCGTACCGCGTGGAAAGGCCAGGAAGGATGAGATGCGGGTAAAGGTGCGAAAGGTTCTGCTTGGTGAGGAACGAAAGCCGATACCTCAAGATCCAGTGAAAGCCTCGTGGACGTCACTTGAGAATCGCCTCACTGGCGTTGACAAGGCTCCACTAGTTTTGGCGGCAGCGGCCGCTGGTACATCAGCTCTTGGCGCAGCTCGTTCTGCCGCCGATACAGCGACCGACGCAACGGCTGCGAACGAGACAGCGAAGAACGACAGCGAAGCACCCCCAACCAAGCCCAAGAGGACCAAGAAATCCGAAAAGCCTCTTGTCAATGTGAAGAGAGTGCATGCGGAGAGTCTTCGCTTAGTGCCCGTCGAAATACCAGACACTCCCGAGGTGCCAAAACTCGCTTACGGCCTGGACAGAGTCTTGTTCAACCCTGGAGTATACCATATGCAGGATCCCCGCTCGCGAGTCTTCAACTTTGATCCTTACCTCGGCGATATTATGCCGATCAGCGAGTTCGACTTCAATGCGCTCCAGAAATATGTCACCTCTTCAAAGGATAGCACCTTGATCTCGCTTGCGGCCAAGCTGGGTAGGAAGTACACCGGCTCAACATCAAGCATGACTCAAACGCTGTCCCATTTCCACTTCTTGCTTTCTGCGTGGCGGCCTATCAACCCTGACAACATGAGTCGCCAGTTCACGCCCGAGTATTCGAGCTTCACTGCCATCTCTCGTGCGCCAGCTGCCTCCTTCCTCCATTTCAATGAAGGTGTGTACGCAATAGATGCAGACAAGGAGTACGACTCTGCCAGTATTCTGAGTATGCTCGGAAAGTCAATGGAGAAGCAGTTGACGCTGCCGCGAGAAGAGTTCGAAAAGTATCGCCGTGCCAATTCCGATCAGATCACCGAGGAGGAGCGTAATGCTGCAGAAGCCTTCCATTACACCACCATGGGCGATTTCCTTATGCGTTCTCAACTGGATGCGTATGATCCAAGGTTACCAGGATCTGGAATGTTTGATCTGAAGACGAGAGCTGTAGTCTCAATCCGCATGGACGCTCAGCAATTCCACAAAGGACTTGGCTATGAGATCCGCCGCCGTTATGGCCAGTGGGAGTCTTTCGAGCGCGAATACTTCGACATGATCAGATCTGCATTCCTCAAGTATTCCTTGCAAGTGCGAATGGGCCGTATGGATGGAATCTTCGTTGCCTTCCATAACACACAACGCATCTTCGGTTTCCAGTACATTCCAATCAACGAGATGGACCAAGCCATTCACGGAACCTTTTACCGAAATCTCGGCGACCAAGAATTCAAGCTCAGCCTTCACCTCCTGAACAAGGTCCTCGATCGCGCGACAGAACGATTCCCTGGCCGATCCATCCGACTTCATGTGGAAACGCGACCTACTGACCCTCCTTTTATGTACGTTTTCGCAAAGCCTGTTACAAAGGAAGATATCGACAAGGTCCAAACGCGCAACCAAGCTGCTGTCAGAGAGTTCGAGGAGCAGATCCTTGGCATGGCCTCAGAGGAGTCATCGGAACCCGAGATGCAAGACTCGGAAGTCGAGCGATCAGTTGGCCAAGAAGAAGACGAGGAAGCTGTTAGCGTCGATGTGTCCAGTCCAGAGTCTAGTAGCCAAGTATGGCAGACGCAAGCATTCTGGGAAGAAATGCAGGAGAAGGTCAATGAGGCAGTGGAAGACGATGCCCTCGGCATTGGCCATGTACGGGAGGCAATCCACGACGCACTGGAGCAAAGTGCATTGCTGAAGGCGAGAACACCTGAAGAAGCTCGCTGGTATGTCGACGGCCTTTTGGAGGCCCTTACGCGTAACCAAGCCAGCGAGGCACAGGATATTGATGGAAAGGATAACCAGACAGATGCGATGTCTGCGAGCGACATTGACACCCCATCGGCCGATGTTGCTCAGGCTTTTGAATCGAGCACAGCGCAAGAAGCTGTGCCAGCCGCTAGCGAGGGAACTGAGTCGGTTCAAGAGACAGACAAAGGGTCATCACTACAGCGCAGCTCTCGAAATCTCGGTCTGAAGGATTTGATTCTCCGCGTTGCTTCAAATGTCGACGAGAATCTCGACGTAGAGGAAACCACCGACATTCCTGGAGACGACGCTACTTCCGACGTCTCCAAACTCCGAACGTTCGAGCGTATTCTCTCTAAGCTGGTTGCCGAGTCGAAGCAGTCGGAAATCAAGACGAACCCTCAGGCTTCAGACATGGAGGAAGCAACGACTGAAATGTTTGAGGATCTTAACCCCAGTATCAGCCAGACGGCAGCCTCAACCGAGTCTCCCAAGGATTCTGAGGGCAAAGAAGCCCAAGTAGACGAGACCCCTGAGCTTGATATCGTTGATAACGAGCTTCTTGGAATGGTCTTGACTGTGCGGAACAGGGTAAATGGAGAATACGCCCCGCGGCCCGATCCCAAGGCTGGCGTTTCGGGGTGGACCGTGGAGTATTCCATTGAAGAACTTCCTGCGGGTCGTGCCGAGCATCTGTATAAAGCAGTTCAGGTGCGACGCAAGAAGGCGCTTTCAAACGACAAGGATGCGAAAGGGCCTGACCCGTGGTACCAGATGTTTTCTGGCAAGCTGGAGCAGATGAGCAAGAGGGGCAGGAAATTCCGTGCGAAAATGGAAGAGACGGCCAAGGAGCACCCCGTCCATGTTTTCGGCATGGATGATCCCGTTACCTATGATGAGGCTTTCGGGCACAGGGCACAGTGGAAGACGGTATCTTGGGATGAAACGACAGACGAGCTGCGAGAGGACGATTTGGATGAGGAGACCTTGAAGGAAGATATCTTCCAGGAGAACAAGTTGAATGAAGCCGAGCTGAAGGAGAGCCAGCCGAAGGAGGACGAATTGAAGAATAATGAGCCGCAAGAGAGCGAGCCAAAGAAGGAGGAGCTGCAAGAGGACAAGCCGCGAGACTCATAAAAGGGGATATCGTGGACTAGGAGATGTATGATAACTGTGTACCTACCATTTGTAATTTATGTACGAAAAGGGCGAGAGCGGATCTGGGATGACATAGCCATTCTTCTCAGCATTTTCCAAAAAGAAAAGTGGAACGTCTACATTTTCGTATGTCTGGCTGCCGATACAGTGCTACATGTTTTGCCTTGGACGTGCGGGCGTATTAGCTTGGGTTGCGACACATCAAAGAAGCCCGTCAATATTGACATGGACGAGTCATTACAAAGGCACACAGAGGGTTCGTCTATGCGTCCCCTAGAGTCCACGGAGCTCCAGTCAAAGTTGAGAATATTGTAAACGTCATTTCTTCATTAAGTTACGAGTAACGATCATCATAATCTTCACCGTGGCCGCCGGTTCTTGGGTCATGATGTCTGTGAGGCATCTGCCTGCGATCCTGCCTGGGTCTAAAGCAGCTGCCATACCACTAAAGTGACGATCTGGATAATGTTAGCAATGGCTACTCCCCGTCTGATCAAAGTGACGACAGACCATTGCAATCTGATTCAACCTGCTCTGGATGAGCTTCTCGCTAGCCCCTATCCTAAACGCCCGGCTATTATTTCGAAACCGATGAAGCCTCGGAAATCAGCGGCACCAAAGCAGCGCTTTTTTCTCTTTTTTGTAGTTTTACAATACCGCCAACGAAGGGCGATCTCCTTTTTAAATTCATGTCTCTTCATCGGCGGGGGAATCCAGGGGGGTTGAAGCCCGGAGGAGGCATGAAGCCTGGTGGCGCGGGCGGTGTCCCAGAAGCTCCCGGAGGAGGCATGGGGAAGTTGGGAGGGGGCGCAGCGAAGCCTTGCGGTGCGGGAGGTCCGCTTGGCGGGCGGAAACCCGGGGCACCCGGGTGGAAGTCGGCCGGGTTCGTGTAGCCGCCTTGCGACTGTGGCGGCCGCGCCGGCAGACCAGACGGCGCGGGAGGGAGTACGGCGCCGCGGCCCATGCCCGGCCCGCCCATACCTTGCGGTGGTGGTACGGCATTGTATTGCGCTGGTCCTCGCGGCGGAGGCGCGAATCCGGCTGGGGCTCCTGGATTTGGGACCTGGACCGGCAGGCCGTTTGAGGGGTCGAATCCGGCAGGGGCAGTCGGCGCAGCGGCTGGGGGCGGGCCGTTGAGGAAAGCGGGCGGTACGGCCTGGATCTCTGGGACGATGTTCCTCTTCTTGGCCTGCGCGGCGAGCTCACGCTCCGCAGCGTCACCGTGGCGCTCGCCCTTGCCGTCCTTCTTGAACGCATACTGGACCGAGACCTCCTTGCTGAGGATGTACTGCATGTGCAAGTTGGCAATCGCCGCGTCGGCGCTCTCGAAGTCGGCGTAGGAGATGAATCCGAAGCCCTTTGAGTTGCCGCTGTCCTCTCGCGCGACCTTGGGCAAGTTGACGAGCGGGCCGAAACGCGAAAAGGTGTCGTAGAGGATCTTCTCGTCCACCATGCTGTCCAGGTTGCCCACGAAGAGCTCCGCGCCGACCTCTGCCTGCTTCTGCTTGTCCGCGCTGGCCTTGTTGACGCGCAGGGACTTGCCGTAGAGCTTGATGCCGTTCATGACGTTGGCGGCGTACTCTGCGTCGCCCGGCGTCCGAAACTCGACGAAGCCGAAGCCCTGGTGGTTCTGGGTGACGCGGTCGCGGGGCATGTGGATGTTGTGGATGGGGCCCATCTGGAGCATGACTTCGTACACCATCGCCGGGGTCGCGCGCTCGTCAATGTTTCCGATGTAGATGGTCGCATCTTTGTCTTGTTCCCTGTGTCGCGCGTCGTGGGTTAGTTGCAATGTCCTTGAATGCTTACTTGGGGCCAGTTTGAAGCTTACCAATGCCTGTTTTGTGCCATTTTGAATTTCTAGCACTCTCAGTGCCCTCTTCACGATCTATAGACGATACTCGTAAGATAGGTTGGATCGTCAGAATACGTGAGGCGAAAAGTCGTTGGTCACCTTGTACCATAAAGACCTGGAAATTTTGGCCTCGAGGTTCAGTCGCGGTTGAGCTATGTCGGTACGTACCTTATCGTACAGCGCAAAGGTCGATAAGCCTCCCAGCGCGGTTGTTCCGGCGGCTCCACTCGATGCGTTTTTCCGGCAGACGAAGAAAAGTTCAGGAACAGCTTCCAGCGCATCCACCACCAGCTCCCTGACGCAGCGACGACGATACATCCACGAACACCCAGCGACGACGAAGACCGCCATTACGCGAACCCGCATTGATTCAACTTATCAAATACCGTCAACGTCACATTCCATCCGTCAAGATGTTTGCCCTCTCCGAAGAGTCCAAGGTGCGACAACGCAACGATAGCTAGATCACGTCGCATGGAGTTGGATCTAATCATTGCATACTACAGGAGCGCATTGGCAAGATCATTGAGATCTCCCGTATTGCCATTCACTAGTATGTAGTCTCCTGTATTTGACGAGAAACGAACCCAGTTACTGACCTATTCGCAGCGGATACCTTCCTCTCGTTCTCTACCTCGGTACGAATGATTGATGCTTCGATTCGAACTACGCCTCCAACAGCGAAACTGACTATTCTTTGCAGGCTACACCCGCAGCGAGCCCCGTCCCGCTTTCATCCGGTAGGCAATACTCCAAGACGCGCGAATATCATGGAACATCGTAACTAATCCTTCCCCAGCCTTATTTCTCCCCTCTCTTAGACGACGCGTGTCTCAATATCGACTTTTTGTACAACATTAGGCTTGCGAAATTTGGATGCTAGCCAAAATTTGGGGGATGACACACCGGATCACTGACAATGGTGATGAGGAAATGCAGGCCGCGGCTCCGGCGCATTGTACAACTACATATGTAATCAAATGAAACCTCTCTAACGATATACTCTTCTTTGTTGTACGCCACTGCGAATGGTCTGGCAGCGCGGACAACAATGTTGGGGGGAATGAGGTGCAGTCAGCGGGCTGTCAATGAACATTCGGGTAACTGGCGCATTTTTGCTTAATCATACGCATCGCATCTGATGCAGCTTCTATTCAACCAAGAAGATATTCCCCTGACGCGAATGGCTAGTGCCTGTGAGTAGAGAAGACAGAATACGTAGCTGAGGACTCAGGCGGACGTCGACGAGCTTTGCAACTGCGCTTCAGAACTGTCGCGGTCTTTCCATGATCTTGAAGACTAATAGAATGAACACATTAAAACAATCTCATTTATGGGCATTGGGAGCTGTCGATATCCTGCCTACCTTACGTCTGGTCACAGCCTGCGAAAGGAGGTTAAGTGTGGCTGAAGCTCTGGAAAAGTGACAGCGGAGCCGCAATTTAATGAGCTAACATGACGTATGAATAATCATTCAGGCGCATTTTTCATGGTAAGCTGCAGTCAAGCCACACCAACAATTCACCAAGCTACTTTTACACAGCTTCCGACATTTGAGCTTGGCCGAGGTCTCTGCAACCGGATGCGTGAGATCGCAGTCACGTTTTCTACATAGAGCAATGTGACAGAGGCCCCTCTTACTTCTATGTCAGAAAGCAAAAATGCGGGCATCTCACCCGCTCTGGTCGAGTCCGTTGCCGGTCTCTCGGCCGGCTCGGTTGCGACTTTGGTAGTTCACCCGCTTGATATCGTGAAGACGCGGATGCAAAGTGAGTGAAGTGCATTGTCTATATCTGAAAATCACCCAGAAGCAGTCGCTGACAAGGAAGCTTAGTTCACCGGAGCGCGGCCAATCCGTCAGTGTCGCTGACAACCATGTCTCTCATCCGCACGCTCACACAGAACCCGCATCCCATCGCCTCCCTCTACCGCGGCTTGACGCCGAACCTCATCGGCAACGCCTCAAGCTGGTCCGCCTTCTTCTTCTTCAAGTCGCGCGTCGAGCGGGCCATCGCGCTCTGGAGAGCCGGCTACATGCCGCTGACGAGCGGCTCCGGTGCCAACGCCCGCAACCTGACCAAGGAGTACCTCACCACCCAGGACTTCTTCGTGTCGTCCGCGCTCGCCGGAGCGCTGACACAGGTCCTGACGAACCCGGTCTGGGTTCTCAAGACGCGCATGCTCTCGTCCGACCGCACCGCTGCGGGCGCCTACGCCAACATGTGGACCGGCGCGCGGCTGTTGTATCGCTCCGAGGGCCTGCGGGGCTTCTATCGTGGCCTCGGCGTCAGTCTGATCGGGGTTTCGCACGGCGCAGTACAGTTTGCCGTGTATGAGCCCGCCAAAAAGATGTATTTCGCCGGAAGGCAGCGGAAGGGCGACAATGGTGGGCGGGTGAGCAACGAGGCGACGGTGGTCATCTCGAGTGTCTCGAAACTGGTCGCTGGGGCTGTGACGTATCCCTACCAGGTACTCCGGAGTCGACTACAGAACTACGACGCCGATGAGAGGTTCGGACGGGGTATCCGGGGTGTTGTGAAGAGGATTTGGCAGGAAGAAGGCGTCAGGGGTTTCTACAGAGGCCTTATGCCGGGAGTCGTGAGGGTGATGCCGGCTACATGGGTCACTTTCCTTGTGTACGAAAACGTCAAATACTACTTACCACAATGGGCGGAGTAGGCTTGTAATGATAGTGTCGGAATAATAGATACCATTCCAGAACGAATATGTTGCTATTGACGAGAGTGAAGATTCGATGGCCAAGGCTAAGATCGTGCGTGCAATTTCAGGGATGCCATCTGGTCTGCATAGTTTTAGAGTCTACAAAATAAGAAAGATGATAATGAAACGGCAGCTTCTGTGTCTCTCGCAGCCTTGGACGTGGCCAACGCCTGTGTCCTCAAGTTTGCTATTTCATCCCACATTCGCTCATACTTGTAAGTACGGAGGCTATTTCGTTGCCAGCGGCAATAAGAAACGCTGAGGTCAACTGACATGTCAGGATAGCCCCAGACTTGCTTCCCTAAGAGTGTGTATAAGTTGCTCTGGCTTATGCAGCACACTCGAGCAAGCTTCGTTCCGTTGACGTTACCTGACTGCTCAACTCTGGGGATTTGCATTTTTATACGTCTGCTTTCTTGACTAGGCCATGATTGTGAATTGACTGAGCATGTAAGTCGCAAGAAGAGTGAAACTCTTTGCGCAGACCTGGATTGCTCTTCATCACTCCTCACCGTCAGTGGTGCCTCAAATGCTTAATGGCCAGTCAAATTCTGTTGCATCTTCGTTTCACGTTCCGTTTCGTTTCATTAAATCTCATCCGTCATATCTCTTGGTATTCGACCGCTCCTGCTCCATTGAATCGTCAAACAGAGCTGTACCATCAAATAACTCAAGTAATGAAGACAAGAGGATATAGACGAAACAACAGGCGTACGTTCTGCTCTCACAGGCCTCAATCTTGTGCTTAGATGCACTACGTTATTCTGGTTTGCTTGATGCTCATCACACCAGCCGCACTTATATCAGCTATGCGAGACGGCTCAACAGATGGCTAAATTTGCGATGATCTTAAATCACTGTAGCTACATGTTCTTTGATACATCATTAGAACCAGAAGAAAGTCACGCTTAAGTCAAGAAGTCAGCACAACTGATTTGTCAGTGGTGAATGCTGATGGAATATCAAAGTTGAAACGTGGACCGAAGTCACTGGAATAGGGGCTGCAAGGCGGTCATCGACCTCCTTACTCCATGAGTGATCCACTTTATGAGTAGTCTATGTTCAAAGGCTTCCAAGCATAAGCTCAAGATCAAGCTCAAGGCTCTGTCTGAGTGTTCTTGCATGCCAGAACCAAAGCCTCGCTGAATGAACAAGCCTAGAGGAATGTGCCATCGCCTCGAGGCTGGTTCAACGAGCAACGTTGAAGAACACTAAGCCGCTGCCAACAAGAAGACACCGATCCACGATTCAAAGTCTCACACGTGGCTTTCCATACGCCGCTGCTATCGCTCTGTGTGACAGCATGTTGTGCTTTTCGAATGTGCAGAAGGCCGGTGAGGGGTTTCGACACCAGGACAGCCTGTCTGATCTCCCCCAAAGCAATAAGACCACAGGCACAAGCATACAGAACATGGCGAATCTTTCCTTGAGAATGACACTTGTCCGATCTGATCATGTCGTAATCCAAAATACCAGATCGCAGAAGCCATCACTGCCCAGCCTTCTCTTCGAACCGAAACCTACGCCTCCTATCCCATTTGTCTCTCAAGGCTCGGCACACAAAACAGTAAAACCACACATCCCACGCCTCCCAGCGGGCGCGGCATTCGACGTCCGAGACAGACAACTCACTAAGACAACACAAGGCTTGCTATACCCCCCCTACTCAAGTACCTCCTTGCCTCGGAATCAGCGCCCCTTTCTTTACGAGACACTCGTAGCAGTGTTCCAGCTCTGTTTTTTGCTCCTTTTCCCGCGTAGCATGTAGGTCCTGATGAACAAATACCGAACACACCACCACCACCACCATCTCACCCTGATATGGAATGTTCCGTCTATCCTCCCGGCCCCCCGTTACCCCCTCAAGCCACCCAGAAGTCACGAGGGGACGTTTCTCAGTTCTCAGATGTAGGTACGGGTACGTAAAGAAAGAGAAGAAGCAAAGAAAGGCAGGAGCGTAGATGAGCGGACGAGAAGAGCCGTGAGACTTTTTGACATGTCACGTCCGGATCCCAGCGGAAAGGGAAGCCGGCAGATCCCACAAAGGTCATCCATCCATCCATCCCGCCCAGCCAGCCAGCGATGGTCCAGCCAGCACACCACTTCCGGTAAATCACCTCACTGACGCGCGCCTCGATCGCCAAAAGGTACCTGATCCCACAAGTGGTGAGATGGGGAGTAGAGGGGGGGCGATACGGATATCCAATCGTCGGCGAGGGGAGGAGGTCCTTCACTCTTCACCCCCTGAGGCTTCTCTCCTGCAGGCCTCTCTTCTTGTAGAGCGGGAACTTTGGAGAGGGGACAAGATGGGCCCCTTTATGAGGTCCTTGTCGGATTTGGCCAAACGTTACACGTACATCTCTGCGTGGTCTTTTCCCACATTTCCTCTATCCCCTCCTATCAGAATAGCACCCGCGGCATCGTGGTACGACAAGAACACGAGAACACAAGAACTTCTGAAAAAGAGGAGAAAAAAAGGAAAATAGAACTGTAGTCGGGACGGGAAAAGGGTCCAAAGTGCAGGATCTCATGGTGAACAACTGTCAATCTCACTCGCACGCGCACATACACACACGCACTTATGAATACCGACGCCTGCATCCACATTCACACACTCTCACACATGTGATGTACTACCGCTCCTTCTTCCAGGAACAAGTCTCGAAGGAAATGGAGGGGGCTAGGGCGACGGGAGCAGCGTGGAAAGAAAGGAGAGGTGCCGGCACGTTCTCCCATCTCCCGCCATGGAGACCAGATAGCCGATGCTCTTCACTGCATCGTCAACTAGGGAAATACCTTATCTGGGATATATCTCAACCTTAAGCGCGGAACTCCCCTCTTAAAAGGCGGGTAGACAACGTAACGGTTACACAAAGAAGCAGCCATCAACCTACCCATCCACCACAGATTATCCACTCAGAGCCTCCCAAAACACGTTCAGGCTCAGGGCCTCATCCCCCAGATGCCTAAATGGCTTTTCTCTTGTGAAGAGAGTAATCACGATTGTACCTATCGGACAGTCCCGAATCTGCGACTTAGCCATCATTCTTCCTCCGTGCCGTCCCTCCCATCTCCGATCCCAGACATAGGGAAGAAACAGGCCACATCTCGATTTCTCATGCCACCGCGGTTCACACTCAACTGAGCCCCCTTTGCCCACACAATCTCTCCCCTCCCCGCCTTCCTCCGGCCACCATGTCTCTGGAATCGTGTCTCTCTTTTCTTACGTCTCACAGCCTTTTCCCACTTGCCACTCCCACACACACCCCTAGCTACGCAGCGTACCCAGGTAATCTTGTCTCGCTCGCAGCCTACCTACCTGACTTTTACGGTCTTGCAACTCCCTCACGCTGTTCCACCGCCTCTTCTTCAAGACATAAGAACACTCACCAAAAGAAGAAGAAACCAGGGTGAACGGAACGCAGCCCACACAAGGACACACACTACACCTGAGCGATACATCCCAAGAGACAGGCCTCACTCACTCTCCATCTGAATCAGAGTGGCACCGTTGTTACAGGTCACAAAAGGACACACCAGAAAAACCCGCACGTTGGGTTTTTGGGGTTATCCCAACGGCCGCGGATCAGAGGTCCCGCGCTCCGCGAGGTCGTGTGGGCTGGGCTGGAGCTTTCAAGCAGGACGATATATGACACCGCGAGGAAGAGGTGGGGGGTGAGAAACAAGAACAAGATTACAATGATTGATGACTACGGTCATGATGATGATGATTCTGAAGAAATGGAGAAAGTGCAGATAGGACTTCGACCGTCGACTACCCAAAACATCCGTAAACTGCACGACATCTCTCGCCCCCTTCATCCCCATCATGCTCCTCTCGTTACTGACCTACTCCTTGCCCATGACTCCATCTCTACAGGACCTGCCAACGTGTCAAACCTGCGTCTCTCCCCTTCCCCCCATTGTGCTCCTCCAACCAGAGCCACAGGAACGGAAGTGCTGGGCAACGGCATCGCAGCTACCTAAACCGCCCCTCAAGCCCACCTGTTGCCCACGTATACCGTCCGAAGTCTCCAGTACCGGGCCCTTGAAGCCCAGAGTCCAGCCCGTGAAGTCGAGGAAGCGGTCCAGAGCAGGTTCAGCCAGCCATTCACGGTTTCAACGGCTGCGCTCACCTCTTTCTCAGCATGTCTCCCTTGCTCAAGGGGAGGCAAATAATCCCAAAGAACGAATCACAAGGCCATATTTAGAACCCCAGAAGTGTGTCCCGGGGCTCTAGCGTGGCAAAAAAAAAATACATCCAAGGTAGTATCCGCAAGGGGGTTTGGTGGGCAATGACGACAGGCGATAGGCTGGAGAGAGAGGGCACAGAGGGAATAAAGGGCTCAGAGGAGAGAGGCACAGAGGGGAGAGGCACCAACGAGGGGGGATGAGCAGAGCTTTTCTCCTCGCAGCTGCTCCACGCTGTGGTTGACTACTAGACGTTGAGACTTTGAGATGAAAATGGAGCGCTGCGTGGTTTGCGTGGTGTCAGTTGCGGCCCCGAACAAGCATCACCCCTACTCCGTCGCTCAGCTCTGTTTCCCGTGTGTGCACGGCGTGTACGGCGTGCCGTGGACCCCCATCTTTTCTTGTTCGCTCGCCCGCGCCTCCTCCTCCTCCTCCTCCTCCGACTTACACTGGAGACGGCGACTACGGAGAAAAAAACGCACGCGCTTGCCGTTCGTCTCGGTCATGATCGTTTGCCCCTCCTGTCCCGTTTTTGCGGGAACCGATATAGTCCACTCAAGCATGGTATCCCCTCCCATCGCGCGCCTCGAACACAGTAACTTTGTGCGCGACATTTTGAACCCGACCCAACCGTAAGGGTCATATTGGGCGGTGGGAACAACAAGAGAGCGGAATAGAAAGCGACAGAGACAGACAACTCAGAGAGCAAAAGGGCGTGAGTCATCTGATACAGACTTGTTCCAGTGCCGGAGCCAATTGTCATCCAACGCTCGCAAGCTCCCGGATCCCCGCAAACCGCACTAAGATGCGCAAGACATAAGAGAGGCCAGAGACAAGAGTTGAGCTCGTCCAAAATGACGAAAGGAAAAGACATGTGGTTTCCGCGTCACTATCAGAGTTTGCCACGAGGGCTCGGACGATGGCACGACGGGTATCGACAGGTAGAACCAGAACCCAGAATCTCAAGGGACGACATCGAACAAAGGACGCTCAGCGGCTTTGCTCGGACGTCGTCGTTGTCGTCCGTCTCAAGTGATACCCCCTACCTGCACCTAAACCTAGCTCTCGTCTGTATCCCTTCCCTTCCCTTCCCGGGTATCTCCCCCTCCACGCGTGCGTGAGTGCAACGACAACGTTGGAGAATCTGGACCCGAGCACCGAGCAACGTCGCATATCTAGTGTAGCAAGCGCCCTCTGGCCCCCCCTTCCCAAAGATCATCAGGAGTTTACGCTTTAGTTCAAGTCGTCCCGTTAGATCTCCTCGTGTAACACGGTAACACCACGAGGGAACCACTTGAAGACTGAATGAGGATAAAACAACAACCCAAAACATTGGCGACAATGGGCCCGTCCTCGGTTCTGTCAAAGTTACGCACAGAAGCTGAGCGTCTTGAGTCTCTCTCTTGACCCCTCCCTTCCCCTTTCAAGACTCGAGGGGCGCCCCGAGAGGGTCACATTGAACCGAAAGTCAACAAGAACAGGAACAGGGGCAAAAGGCGAAAAGAACATCTTGATAGGGCGGGGCGGCCATTCGCAATGACATCGTCAAAGAGGATAGCGCGAAAAGAGGATTGAAGAGCCAGGTAAGGATAAAGAGGGAATTAACAAGAAAAAAAAAGTGAACAATGTGATAGAAGTTTCCTCGCTTGGACCTCTGTTGAATTGCTTTCTGCTTTCTGCAGCGCCGCGAGCGCAGCAAAAGGTGTCGCATTGTCAGTCCTCACCTGCATTTACACTGCCCTAGGATCGCGATCTCCTTCTGACCTCTCTGATGACGGAGGGTCGCACAGTGGGGTTCCATAGCCGTGGGTTTTGAGCAGAAAAGAATTTTGGGTGACGGGGTTCCCAGTCTGAACCTGGATGAGAGGAAAGGATTGAAGGTTGTTGGCCCCTCTTCCTCCGGGTTGGAAAAGGAAAAAAGAGACGACACACCTTAAGCGAGAACGAGTCAAGGTTCGCGTGGTTGGTGGTTGATGGGTGCTAGAGCCTGAAGGTGGTATCGGCGATGATGGTTCCCCGTCCGTTCCTCCCGGGTCGTGGAGTGGACGACGACGAACAGACGACGATGCCAGGAAGGGGGGCCATGGGAGGTCGAGATCCCGTGTCGGGCGTCGCACTGATGTCGCCCATCGGACCCGTCCACGGCCGCCGGATGCGCCTTGAACTAGCGACCTCGTCCGCGAAACCGTAATCCCCCCCGCCGCCGCCCCTCTTCATCTCGTGCCTTTGACCTCTAATAGGGGTCTGGACCTATACGACCCCGTCGGTATCGAGTAAGATGTGTGTACCAAGCAGCTCAGTGAATGATCGACCGCCATGTCGGTTGATCGTGCTTCAGTGACATGTCAGATTTCCCGATATTGTACGGAACCGCATTCCATGGGAATACACGGTACGCAGCATCCAAAGGACCACAAAGCTCCGTTGCGGAATCCCAGAGAGCTGAGTGGCTCGGCGCAGAGATGCTGGATTTGGAAGCTGGGCCGCGATCAAAATGGAAGAGCTTGCGAAATGTTGGTCAGGGCAGATCTCAGCCCTTCAGTCATATCTCACATTTCTCCTGCATCACACAGGGTGAAAATGTGAGGGAAGAAAGCAAAAAGGCTGTCATAATCGGAGAGAGCCCCACCTATGTGCCGCTGCCCACACAAAGCGCGCACACACACACATCCCACAGACTCTTGACAAGAGACGAAAGAGAGCTTTCAGAGCCGAGATCTGGGCCACAGTCCACTTCCATCGCTAGACTGACCAGGATACTGGGAGCTTGGACTCGGGTTTGGCCCTGGCTTCTGTGACGCCGGGGGGGAGGGATCCCATGTCGCATAGCTCCCAGCTTGTCTGGTTTGGTTCCCTCAAACTCTTGAGGACGTCCCCTCCCCGGTCACCTCGAGCACCCGGCGATCCAGCTTGGTCTCGGTTAGGAAAAGTGCGTAGATCACACTCCCAGATGCCTGCCGGTGGGGTCGGGCGATGTGTGCGCGAAAAGGCGGCTTCGCATATCGCATCGTGATGCTTGGGATTGAAACATTCCCATCCAAGCCCAGTTTGCGCGACTGGATGAGGCTGGCCCACCCTAATACGTCCATGTCGTCGGCTGACCTGCGGCTTTGATACAAGGTTATCCCTTCGACATCGGTCAATCGACAGCGGCTAGTACTTCGGACGAGGCTTCCGGCTCCCATAAGTCTTTTCCCCCCAAAACTACAGCGCACCACTCGTGGGCTGTCCACATAGAAAATTGAAATATCTCACATATCGACTGCTTTGTTAGTGGGTGTTCAGACACTAGATACTCAACTCCTGCTTGGACTCGTCAGGGATACCATCACTTACCATCATCTCTCACGCCCTCTCGAACGAAGGTCCCCTCAACATAATCACACGCCGTATCACATCTCATTTGGCGGCCTCGCAAGAGGAGAAAGCGAGTCGAGTCTGTTGTTCCCCTGCCAGATTACTGATGCCACCGCTGATTCTGATTTTTGATGCTATACCGTCCGCACGAATCATCATGTCTGTGAGAAATATCCGTAGTGAATAAGCTCTCGGAGCAGCGACCATCGGCATTGACAGTCTCCAAACCCAGAGATTTTGCGCAGCCACATTCCAGAGGTCTAGCGTCATGTCGCCCATCGCGCGAGTCGATCAGATCTCGGTGATGTGCAGAGAGTTCTACCGCTCCCTAATTCCCATTGGCCGCGAATTGGAATCCTGCCACTCTGAAGCCTCAGCTCATAGATCGGCAGTGCCGCGATCTGGCGAGGCGGGCCTAGGAAGGGTGTGGGTTGCCACAGTCTTGGGATTCGTAGGCAGGTGACCGTTTGTGGTCAAAAAGAAGCGCCACGAAAATGGCCTCTCTGTCAGAGTCCAAGTCAGAGTCAGAGAATACCTAAGCCGACCGGCTGCCCATATTCCCTCGTGCAAACCTTCATACGGCGAGGTGCTTGAGTCGAGACTCCCGTGATCTGCCCCAGCCCCTCCCTGCCCACTGGAACTGCTACCATCGATCTGTGGAGAGATCAGAAGAAGAAAAGTTGCCATCGTCTGCGAATGGCCGAGCGGCGGAGTCGAGCCTTCAGATGCCCCTTGCAGCCATGGGCTCAGGAATGTTCAAGTTTCGGTGCGTGCAGATGCACCGATTTCAGGTCTGCCCGTCGTCCCCCGAAGAGTCAAGACCCGTCTCAAGCCCCTGGACCCTGATCAGGGCTTGCTGGCATGCTGGTAAAGCTGGTAAAAGTGGCCCACAGTGCCTCTTTGCCTCAATCAATCATTGCGTCTTCTCTCGCTAACAAGCCGCCCAGCTGTCATTCGAGTGATGTAAATCAGGGGGCCTTGTTGACAATTGTGATCACAGCGCGGCGCCTTCGGAGCATACCGGTGCCTCAACGGCCGTGAGCGTACCACTCTAGAAGGCGGTGCCGGTATTACCATGTTTCAAAGAGGCTCGAAATAGAGCGGAACCACGAGATGGAAGGTTGACAAGTGACTTTGGTCATTATGATGAAGTTGTTTGAGCGTCTCGATCCGCCTGGCAGTCCATCTCGTTCAATATCAGGCCCATAGAGAGAAGTTCTTGTGGACTCTCGAGATAATTTGAGCCTGTCAGATAGCGATGCAAAGTGGATGCGTCGTCTTGGAAGCTGAGGCCAGCATCTGATAAGTGACATGAGCCCAGGTTGAGTTTAACTTGCGAAAGTAAGGAGTTCTTCGTTGCTGAGGAGCCTTGGAAGCGTTCGCTCCAAGGTATTGGTCCGGCTCAGCCATGACGCGCCTCTTTGTCCGTTCCCTCAACCCAAGCTGTACAGAGAAGAACCACGTTGCCTGCAAGAGCCGAAGTGGCCCTGTCCTGGTTAGCGGGTCGAGCACCCTGCTTCCCCGGTGCCTAGCAAGCCCATTCTGTCATCCATGCGGCATGACCTGCGCTTCTCCCGACCAAGTTAGGTAGGAAATTTGGTAAATAATCTCAAAAAGTTGAGATGTGATCGCAAAAGGCTGAAAATTTGCCCTCATCCACACCGTCCCTCATCAGCGGGTGAAGGGGACACAGCGCGATTGCCGATGGAGAGAACGGAGGGGTAGACGAGCGCCATCGGAAGACCAGACGGTATCTGATTTTGTTCCTCTTCCGCCCGTAGAACCCGAAAGCCGCGCGGTAACCAAGGCAAGGTTCGCCTTCAGCGCATCAGTCAAACAACCCCCCCCCCCCCCCGCGATGCTGAGGGTACTGGGGAACCTCTAGTTTCGTTAGCATCTGCAGTGGAGGTAACCGTCCGGAGTACAAATACTTGCGTGTGTGATATGGCGTAAAACCCGTCGTCCAGGTCTAATATCCATGAAACACCAGTCTTGTGGCTTTGTGCAGAGCGTTTCCGTAAAATCCAGTCTGGACCAAACTTCGTTGTACGGATTCGTCTGAGAAACGGCCCCTACCAAAGGGGTTCAACGTCTGCTGGTGCTTAGTCAAATGGCTGTATCTGTAAGGCTGAGATGAGGGCGTGCAATGTCAATTTCTCTTTCTTGTCTTGCCAGGCCAGTCCAAGTCATCAAAAGTCCTGGTGTGTGTGAATGGTCGTGAGAATTGTCCATTGCTCAGGAGCCCCAGAGTTACCCGCCAGGAAAAGCAGGGAAACGCCGCGCTCCCCGAGAGAGCCCCGCGAAAATCCGCTGGAATACCAATGGATGAGCCTAGGCCAAGTGGAGAATACCTCCTGGAGCGATGAATTACACTGGAGAAAATTGTCTTTTACGGTCATGGTCGCGAGAGTACGAGGTGAGGTCTTTCCATACTGAGAAGCGGCGCTTATTCCAACGAGTTCTCGGCCGTAGCATATCGTGTTGTTGTAACGTCCGAAGCGTCGCACAGTTTGGCGAAACCCTGTCCTTTTTCTGCAATACTGACCGCTTCACGGACTATGCAGAGTGTATCAGTCGAGGTTGCTCTCTCAAAAAGATACCGGACTCAACGGAAATGACAATACCCCATTATGGACGCTGGAGGCCCCTGAAATTCAGGTGTTCTTGTTAAGCTTCACCATTGCATAATGTCTGCCTCACGACAGGAAATTGTTGCAGAAAAAGCTTGGTGCCGAACACTTCGTACGATGTGTCGGTTGGAAGCCGTCTGTGAAAGTCAGCAGCCACAGAGAGCGGGACGGGTCGTTAGGACGATGGATAATGATGAGCTGTGCCATTCTGAGCTTGACAGCCGCCAAGTCGAATGCTAAGGTGAGATCCGGCGAAGTTTAAGCCTATTTGGCCCAATTTTTGACTTCAGTCGTCCGTTGGATATCCCAACCTTAGCCCCAGCGGCATGTCATCGTAATTGGGACTTCGTCGCTCCCCTAGCACTCTAGCTGCCAGCACCTGTCACCAGCCACACATGTGCGCTTGGTGCGCTGTGCAGCGCCAGTACTACATTTGGCAGCGGCCAATTCAGCGAACCAGGATATGAGAAATACGAGGGGAGGGGGAGGAGGAGGAGGAGGGGGGGGGGGCCGTTTGACAGGTCGTGGGGGCGGCAAATAGTTAGCTGCTGTCATCAGCTTCGGGACTGGAAAGCCCGGGGTATTTCGCCCGTAATTGTCCAGTATTCCAATGAAGCCCTGGCAATGTCAGTCACTGATAAATCAGCAATGACGACTGTTTTGAAACGAGACCCTTTCCAGGGGGAAATGAGCCCTCTCAAGGTGGCCAGGGCAACGGTATTGCACTTCTGACCTGCATCAGGTCGAGAAGAAGCGGCATTCTAGGCATTCTTTTCATCCCATCGGCATATCGCCTTCCCCGACCATCTAGCCCAAACTATGGCGGGATGGTGTTTCGCCGCTAGAAGAGTTTGTCGGTCCTTCTAGGTGCCGGCACGCCTATGGGCGGGCGATTGAGCATCCTCGTGCTTGAAGCCTTGAATGTTCTTCCGATGGCTGCCCGAACGGGGCGAAGTTTCAATAGTAATCAATCCCGGCGCAACACCAACGATGGAACCTGGTTGGAACTCGGGAGGCGCTGGAGGTTGGTCTCCTTACTGTGCCCAGCTATTCCCAGCCTGGGATATAGCCCGCTGCCCGTATGACTTGCCGCTCCCGTGGCTAAGGTAGTGTCACCTACAATTCCGTCTCTCTGGAAAGTTGATTGGATCGTTGAAAGGAAAGCCAGAGTGTCTTTGGCAACCTCTAAATGTCAATGGCAAGGAACTTGGTAGTCTTGATGGCTGTTCCAGCTTTCTGAAAAACTCGTCATCCACTCGGAATTGGACTAGGCCGGAAAGGCACATCTGATCTGTCGTTTTCTTCAATTGTGATTCTGCGACTCGTTTCCGCCACTAGCCCCTTGCTTACTATCACATTGCCATTATCCCTTCCGGAAAGCGTTCCTGATACCGGCCAGCATGTCGGGCACCCAATTTCACCGAGGGTGGTTCAAGCCGGGGGATCGCCCTTCAACCACAGTCCTGGGACCTGTGCACGGATCGCGGGAGCCCACGCCTGCAGCTTCGCTAACCCAGTTCTGGTTGGCGTACTGCCTGGGTCACCTCAGCTCGTCGTGATGCTGGCTGCTGGCTGCTTACCTTGCTGCCCTACCCTGCTGTGGTACCGTTTGCCCAGTGCCTCCATACCCGACGGTATGGATCGTGATGCATTCTGCATCTTTTGCTGGGGTTTCGAACCCAGCGATTGGGTTCAAGCTCTGAGAAGGATAAGAGTTACAGCATCCAGATCGCCAGCTTCACTTGACAGGCTTATTTCGGGAGGCCCTTGCCAAATGTTGGAGATGGGTCCCTTGACGAGACTGCATTGCCAGGCTATTCGCTTGTTGAACCGTGAGCGTCGCCGTCAGCTGGAAGCCTAAAGTTGTCATTTAATAGATGTTGATGCCCGAGACTCAACAAGAACAATAACGACCAGGTCTGCAGGTCTAATTCATACTCCATCCGATGGGGGGTCAATCAGTCCTAGAGGTGCGTAGCACTCATTGAACTCATCTTTCTATAGCGTCTTCCTTCGCCATGCAAAGCTGTTCAGTAATCCGCAACAACCCTGGCAGTTGGTGGGGTCTGGACTCCTAGGAGACGGTGATGTTTCTGTGCTCAGCAAGCTGGAACCCACCACCCTAGCAATATCCTACGCAAAAGTCAGTTGTCAACTGTTGCATCCACTGCCTAGTTGCCTGTCAAACCTTGCGTGAAAATCCTCGTTAGCTACGCAACTATGCGTACCGCTTCTCGTCATAGGCCACGGACACGACAGGAGAATAGCGATGGCGACAGGGTAGCTCATCGTTTGAAAATGTGCGCGCCAATGAGTGGCGCGAAATCGGTGCATCCAAGCCACGAATCGGTTATGGCGACGTTGTCACCTACTCACCTAGGCGATTGAGGTTTGGCAGTTCTCGATTATGTCAACCAGCATTCAAGCCAACCGATGATGATCTTCGTACTGAGCGGACATCCCCCCAAGTGATTCATCTGTCGGTAACTCGTAATTGGTAGCCATCTGAGTGGATCAAGTCGTGTGTCACTTTCGCGCTCCGTGATGCAGATGTGCGGATGGCCGATTACACGCTGCAGTACGTCCGTAGTGTCCAGGAGAATGAAGGTCGCAGGTGAAGTCCTAAGTCGTATTGCAGCATCAGCAGTGTGTGTGCCAAGCCCGCGGAAGTCTCTCCAGACTCGATTGGTCAGTGTGAATGTGATATGTGACAAACCGCATGCGAGCCTTGACACGCGGGTGCTACAATGTCTGGATAGGAGAACTAGCCATGGTCTCACGGAAGGGTTCGCCTGTGAGCGAATAAATGGATCTGCTAAATGACTTTGTCCTTGTTTGAGACTGACCCGATGGGGAAATACCGAGAGTGTACCGACTGCCATTGTGACTGGCAGAAATGTGATCCGTCAAGGGGTTGCACATTCAGATGCTTCCAGTATTGAAGAAATTCTCTCGAGTTTGATCCACTTAATTCAGTGGTTGAGTGGCTGAAGAGCCTCAAGAAAACAGCGACAACGGGAAGCTGGGCTCTTGAGTCTCAGAGTCTAATTGGATCCGACTCATCGGCAAAGCGGATATGGCAAAGTGAGCCTGTTTCTGAATGCCATGGTTTCGTCTTGCTTGCTTTTGCCGCGGTGCCGTCAACGGGTGTGGATTGCACCCAAACACTTTTGCAGTGGCTACGGAGTACCAGCGTCACAACTGCTTTCGACACCACTCTCAATGTCTCTGCATGGCTTGCATAAGGCCAGGTCCAGTGCCGAATATGTGACTCTTGTGCAACCCCCGCAGTAGATTGTCATTGTGCATGGAGTCGCGAAATGGTCCATGAAAACAACGGTCTAGAGCTTACACAACTCCACACCTGTCGGATCTCGAAAAATCGAGTCATCAGAGTTGCACCGTTGCCACGCCTAGCGTCCTGTAGACAACATAGCCTCATATCGTCTGTCATGTCCGCGAAAGATAACCGTCGATGGCGGCGGCAGTGGGTTGGCTGGCTACTCCCCAAATCGTTTCGACCAGGTTTGCGAAATTCCTTGCGTGCACTGAATTCTTCAAACGTGCGTATCTGTAATAATGGTCGTGAACAACGCGTATTCGTAGAGGACTCGATGCAGGCCGGAAAAAAGGCGCTGGTACAGAACACTGCTGCCGCACGTGGAAACAAAAAAGCTCGCAAGATCCCTCGGAGTGTCGCCGAGACCAGGAAACAAAGAGAGAAGATTGAGTTCGCCTCCAGTTGCCTAATCATGTGTTCACATACCAAACTGGCTTAAAGTTGGATATGTCAGATTCCAGTATTATCGTGATGCAGCTGCGAGATGGGCCGTGTCGCGTAATTTTCCAGAGTGCGGGTCGGAAGAGTTGCGCAACTCCTGTCGCTGCGACGTCAGGACACCTCGAGTCTTGAGCCGGCTGGCAAACACATGGGGCTCTGTGATAGAGCCAATCTGAGATCCATGATCGCAGCGTGACCCCGACAGATCGCAGGGCCAGGTGGAGAGTAGGGGGCCACCGGGGACCACCGGAGGCAGCACATCCCTGAAGTTCCGATTATGATGCTGAGTTGCGAAAGACAAGGCACAGCACTGCAGTCTCTGCCTTCCTTTCCCCCTGTCATTGCAGCTCGGAGGTTTTGGCGATGCAAAAGGATCATCTTTTGAGGTGCCATCATTCGACCGAACCGCCGTTCCCACCCGTCGTGGAGACTGTGTAGCGTGAGGATTCTCAAATCGTCAGTCCAGCCGTAGGCGGCCAACGCCGTAAACGTAATCATTGGTCCATTTGCCGAGAGTGAGAATTCGAGTCTCAGATCCTCACGGGCACTGATGAAGAGTATAGAGGTTCGACCAAGCAGATAGGTAGTGACAAAGTTGACGATGACGAGATGTCCAAATCCTTCTCATGGTGTCGACGGTCGTCGACTGTGGAAAATCCGAGTTTCCTGCTCCAGCTAGGAACCAGGAGCAAGTGCGCAAGGTAATTGTTATGCCAGTCTAGTCATCAGATCGTAATGAAAGATGTTTTCTTCCGAAACTGGCCCGGTTGTTTACGGGCGACAGGAAGGGTACTGGGAGTACGGCCTTGCGGTGGCGCCAAGCCGGTATAGCATACTGGGGTTGGCGGGTGTAGAGAGCACGGAGACGTTCGAAACGGACGGAGAAAAAGGCATTGTTGCGAGCTGTCAAAGCTCGGGGACGCCATGGGTGTTGACTGTGCCTGTATCCGTATGGCGGGTGAACCTCTGAGGTGAGGTGGTAGGGTGGGTACAAGCCACACAGCCCGATGCTCATATGGGACATTTAAAATGAGGCGGGAGGTGGGAGGCTCAATACGAGGCGCTCAGCAGCCGTGATCGATAGTATCCGTAGCCCGAATCGACATCGACATGGTTGAATCCCGTGGTTCGCAGAAGCCTTACGTGTGCGAATAGGTGGCTTGCCTTCCTAGCCCTGCAAAAAGCTCTTTGGCGTTGCCCTGTTGGCTTTGGATTGGCTTTGGATTGGATTTAGGAGCGTTCGTTCTCGAGACGACAGGGCTGAGGTAATGCCGAACAAAGAAGCCCATGGCGACGATCAAGTCGGTGCCTCTGAATAGCATTGCCAATGACAGCAGACAGGCAAACAACGGCCCCGAAAAACGAACGATTCTCATTTGGCGGAGCTGGGCAGAACAGGGGTGCCATGTTTGCTTGCGCCGTCTACCGCAGCACGTAGAGAGTGTGTACTATGTGTGCCTGGCCTGATCCAGACACGCAGCTTCCGATGGTGAGGTTTCTTTAGGAAAGCCGTGGAGGGGGACGAAAAAAAAGTGCTGACAGATTGGTGCATGAACGGAGGATTTCAAACGTGGCCAACAAGCAAACGGAGGACAGCGGCCCAGGGATCAGGTAGGTATCCACGAAGTTGAGAGGATGTGTGTGTGTGTGTGTGTGTGTGTGTGTGTGTGTGTGTGTGTGTGTGTGTGCAAGTTCATAGCGACGGTGACATGTCTGGTGCAGAAACTGGTGGTCCAGAATGCCCAGATTCTCGGCTGTGGCTTCGACGCCAGAGTCGCAGTCTTCAGACGGTAGGCGAGGACTGTAGACGACCCGTCCCTGTGTGATTCTGTGCCTGCCTCTCGCACTCTTTCTGCAAATGCCACTGGCTAGGCGTAAGAATAGGGAGAGGGAGGAACTAGGTGATGGAAGAAGCCGTCGATGACTTCCCATGGTGAGGTTCCTGAGCACCTCAGGTAAGGACAGGGGAAGAGGCAAGGAAGGATGTTGATGTGATCCCATATGCCCAAGCACCAGAGGTAGGGGACCTGACGGGAAGCTTGGGGCAAGCCGCAAGAGCAGCTCGACGTTGAAGGGGGGGTGGGAAGGCAAGGAGGGGTGAGGTTCCCGAATGTACCCACACAGCACTTGCACGCGCGTAAGCTACCTCACTAGTGTATTTTGTACGTACCTAAGCTAAGGTAGGTATGATGGACTTAAGGTACGGTAATGGACATTGGAAGGTAAGGCAGCTGCGAATAAGGTCAGGTAACCACTTCCTACCATGGGTGGAAGAGGACGGACGGTGCTCCGTACCTGACCTTATGGTAAGGTAGGTACTTGAGTACCTTAGCAACATGAGATGGGGGACAGAGTTGACGGTACGTACCTGCCAAGCCTTAGGTAAGGCTTCGGGAAGTACGTACCCTTGAAAATCTCCCTATTCCCCACTCCCACGGCTGCAGTCAAGTGCAGGGCATGTCGCAGGCCGCAGGCCGCACCGCAGGGTGTGGTATCCAACTTCACAAGTTCACTTCATTTTCAACTCAACACCCCGTGGGAGCACCAGCACACTCATTTCACGCCCCCCTCTTTCTGTCCATAGTCCATCCATACCTGCGGAGGACTCCATCCTCCATCCCATGGTACGGATACCAATGGCACGTCCCTGTTCTCCTCCTTCTCCCTTGCCGTCAGTCCCGCCCGCCTGCACGAAAAATTAAGAATCCAGTGGCTAGGGAATCCCTGTTCCATAGTCCGGCCCTTTCTCGAGACTCGAGAGTCTCACTTGGTCTTGAATGTCTTGAATGTCTCTCTCATGGCTGCCAAGCATTGGAAGCAAGTCTCCGTTTCTCACACTCACCTCACTCCTGCATCCGTATCTCAGCTTGACCAGTCTGCTGTGTCTTGCCCAAACTCCATGTATTCGAACCGGCCCGGTAGCTTGAGGTACTATCAACGCTCGCTCAATCTTTATTCTTGACCTTCGTACCTGTGCCTGAAATCTCTGCTTGCAAAGCCTCACTGGCAAGACCCTCGTCGTCATTACCTTCAAGATCGACCTCAGCTCGATATCACCCTACCACTACGATACCTTGTTTACGCACCAAGACCTACACCTTCCACCCGCCTCACTCTGCAAAGTGTCAATCCTTGGCCTTGCTTGAACTTTGAAGAGTGTACCTGGCATGGTACCGATGACCAGCTCCCACATTGGCTACCTCCATCTTTCCGCCATCGTGATCGCTATCATGAGATCTGGTCCGTAGGTCAGGTAGTCCGTACGGATACCTGAATCCATCAATATCTCTGTCTCTTCTCATATTGTCTCGACGCTTTTCGAAAAGTTCCTCTGCCGCCATCCCCTGCTTCGCCTTGCCTTCCGGCTGCAATATCGACCTCCCGGCGATCCTAGCCTCTCATGAAAAAGAAAGAATGGCGCCCATTTGGGCAGATCTGGTCTACACCCAAGCCGCATGTCGCCATGCTGCACGTCCACTTCAAGAATAAGCAACAACGAATCGAGGCCACAGCGACCTGGCCGAGGACAAGGGACTGTCTTTATTTGAGATTCCCACCTTATGCTTGTTTCACTCTCTCACCATTCGCCTGCCTATCCTTAACCGCAGACAGTGATGAGATGAGCTCTCCTGCGAACTAGTCCAACTGACGACCTGTGAGTTGCCCCCTATGAAGAACTCGTCTTTACCAGAATGTCTTATTTCTGTCTATTCGAGCAACCGAGGCTCCTCCTTTCGATTTCTACGCAGCGCCTCTATCCAGATAGGCATGCCTTCCCCTTGTCTAGTCTGTTCCGAGGTTCATTCTGTTCCTCGATCGGCCAGCCGTTGTTCCTACTTTCGCCTCTAAGAGAACTTCAACGCTGCTCATCGCAGGCGCCTCCATCATCTATGAGGGGAGACTAGTACCTAGACCCAGAGAGAGAGAGAGAGAGAGAGACATGAATGCATCCTATGCCGACCTCTGAGCTCAGTCAGTTGCAGGGTATGGGTATGACGCCTCTTCCCATTCCCATTCCCCCCCCCCCCCCCCCCTGAGGTCGACTTCCCAGGCGCCCCTCCCCCTCCCCTCCTGTACTTGGCCACCCTGTACAGCAAGAGCAAGGTCTCGTCCTCGTCCGCGTCGACCGGGTCGTGGCCCGCTTAGTCGCTACCCCGGCTTTTATGGAAGTCCTCCGTGTTGCTCGTCGTGGTGGGGGTCCATGATTTCCACAAACTCTCCATGTTCTGGTCCTGGCCTTCAACCCTTCTTTTTTCCTCTCACCAACCCACTGTCTGGGTCCTTGCTGGTTTCGCTTTGGATGCATGTATATTTAGTGCTGAGATCTTCGGGACCCAAATCCAGTCGATTGGCTTCCAGGATTCAACCCCGGCTGCACATCCGCTATCCCCTCCCGCACTTTATACCACGAGTCCATTCTTGACTCTGTCCCGAAACTACATCTACCCGCCTCCATCCTCCTTTCTTTCTCGACTTCTTGCCACGAGAGATCACAAACACTCAACATCCCCCCAAGCAGTCAACGCTTTACCTCTGCCCTTTCTTTTTGGCACCAACCATTGATCCATCTCTTCCATCGTACTCTACACACTCCAGACACAAGGCAGGAGTCAATCAACTTTGGCATTGGCTTACCCATCACCTCGTGCTGATTATATCCAACAACCACACTTAACGCTGCCAACCTACCGTTTCTTCATTCTGGCTTCGCAAAGATGGCCTTGACGGAACAGACAGCCCCGCCCCAGGCTTGGGGTCGCTGGCAGCAGCAGCCTGCCGGCCATGACTACGCGATGATGGATAACACAGCGTTTGTGCAGTACGACTCGAGAGCGGCTACCTCTGCTCCCATGAACGGCACTGTTATCTCTCCGCATTACATGGTTGGCTCCCACTATGGTGTCGCATCTATGCCGGCAATGGGCCACCACTGCCCGACCCAAAACCACTTCGCATATGCTCAGTACGATTCACCTCCGGCCAATATGAACATGCCCTTCAGACTGCCAGCGCAACAAGAACGATCGATCATGCCTGTAGTAGCCCCAGCGCATGAGGTCCCGCGAGCCAGCTCCTACCCTCAGGAGTCACCTTCGGGACAGAATGACCGACACCGCAGCCCATCCACCCGAAGCGAGACGAAGATGAGCAACCCAAAGACGCCCCACCCCCTCAACACCAAGGAAATCAAGTTCAACAAGCCCACGAGTGCGGACCCAGTGAACTTTACCACTGCTATCGACACTCTCATGAAGGCGATCCAGAAGAGGCACGACACTGAGGATATTGTCAAGGGCGTCCCAGAGACCGAACAGGTTGTCAAGCCGGAGCCTAGATCTCCCAAGGTAAGACCCGATTCTGCGTCCGCTGGCTTGAGTGACTGAGCTGACGATGTCCAGCCCGAACCGACCCCGGCTGCTTCGGCCCCGACACCCTCGACAACGACAGACTCGTTGGATGCTCCCAAGACCAAGCGTTACGTCTGTGACATTGATGGCTGCGGTAAAAGCTTCTATCAAAGCACCCACTTGGACACTCACAAACGCGCCCACACCGGTGAAAAGCCATACGTAAGTACACATACCTAGTTGAATGTGATGTGGATGACGCTGACTGTTCGCAGAAATGCACTTGGCCGAACTGCGAGCGAACCTTCTCGCAACCTGGTAACCTCAAGGTTGGTTCATCCGATTTGAAGCAAACACAGCACGGCCTCACTAACCATCCTACAGACTCACATGCGCCGCCATACCGGCGAGAAGCCCTTCCGCTGCGAGCAATGCAGCAAAGTGTTTGCCCAGCGTGGCAACCTCCAGACGCACATGGCCACACACACTAATGCGAAGCCATTCGTCTGCAAGCTCGACCAATGCAACAAGATGTTTACCCAAAGAGGCAACCTCAAGGTGTGTAGAGTCGGGGTGACTTATCTTACGGCCATCCAGCTAACTTGGCATCAGAACCATCAAAACAAGTACCACGAGAAGACCCTCATGGAAATGACTGACTGGATTGTCTCCATTTCCGATATTGACGGCTTGTCCGATGACCAGCGAGAGATGTACTGGTACTTTGCCAACCTCTACAAGAACAGTAACAAGGGCATTAAGGGCCGTGGCAAGGACCGCAGGGTCAGCAACCGTGTCTCGAAGTCCAGGACTGCTCCCTCATCTTATCCGGTCAAGCGCGTGCCCAATCCCGCGAGCCTCGCAGCATACAGCTCGAAGAGGCTGCCTCCCCCGGAACAGTACATGCAACATCACCAGCACGGCTACGAGGTTTACGACACGGATATGGATCAGTCCTCGAGCGCAAGCAGCCCCAGATATGATGGTATTCCTCCTGCCTACCGAGATCGCATGTACCACCAGTCCAGCCATGCCATCTACTAGGGGCCAAATCGCAACCAAGCGATCCCACGCACATACGTCAACGTTTCCCAACACACGAATACACGACCGCGAATCACATCGAGTATATACCACAAGAACGGAACGGAGTAAAGAAAAGCAACATTCGGACGTGCTCGACAAGGCTTGAGACGAAGCAGTCCATTGGAAAACAAAATCGAACATTGATCCAGAGCGTCATTTCTCTCGCGGTAATTATTGGGTTGAGGCGGCTGTCTGAACAATTTTCTTGTTTTGGTGTTATTTCCTTGTAGTCGTCGTCCACTTGTTCAGCAAGGCGGTAATGATTGACTTTTGTATCTTCCCTTGAATTCTCTATACTGCGGTCAAGGTTATATTACTTAAGACGGGGAGTGTACGAAAGTTTCGAGTCCTTGAGCTGTTGAGCGGTTTCTTTATTCTCAACTCTTCCGAGACCCGAAACTCGGGAGAGGTGAACAACATTATTTACACGTAGGCGGTGGCTTTTCGCCAGGCATTTTGGCCTGTGAGTGGACATACATCAAAGAGAGGGGAGGCGGGGGTTCATGGCACACGGAAAATTGGGCTGTTGCATGATGCGTCATGGGAGTTTTCAGACCACCCAACGGGATTGGGACGCGTGCATTTGGATGAAAGCGGCGCGCGGAATGAAAAAGAGAGGAAAACAAATTTGGCCTCCCAACAGAGTTACTAGACTCTTCAGATACCCCTGGGATTTGCATTGGGATATGATGGGGCAAAAAGCGTGGCAACACGATGGAGTTGGGAATAAGCGTCAAACACAACCTTTTTGTGTACTGTTATTTTTTTCATTATTTTGTCTTGGGGTCGACATTGGAACTGGGCCCGATAGGAAGGATCCCGAGTATCATGTACCCCTTGCTTATGGTGGATGCCTCGAACGCACGTATGAGAAGTTAGGATTATTGATACCAATTTTTATTTACCAATTACCAACTATGACTGCCTATTTCTCTCTCTTTCATGCGCGGTGAACGAAAAAGTGAACGAATCCGGCCTAGTGGTAATTGCTGCGTTTAATAGCTGCTAGGCTTCCATGCAGGCGTGCAGCATGTGTGTCTCGCCCAAGCGTAATGTTGGCCCGGTAGCTGGAGGCGAGAGAGAGTCCTGCTGAAAAGCTTTCCATGGGCCAGGGCCAGGACAGAGGATAGAGATTCAATAACCTGTGAGTGGGCTCTCCGGGCCTTGAGGGGGACGACTGACAATTACGGAGTGAGTAACCTGCAGTAGGTATCCTCACCCACCTTGAGGTCTTTGATGATTGATCATCCTCAGCTGTACTGATGAGGCTCAGACTCCCCGTCAGACGAATGAGCAGAGCTGACGGGACGCGGGTATCGATACTGCCGATGGCAGTAAACGAAAAGGCGGTCTGCAACACGTTACACACGCGCTCTCACGCACGCACACACACACACACACACAGACGGGACACACAGCCGGGTTGGTAGCTGCATATACTCCGTACCTATGATGGAATACCAAGCAAAGCTCCCAGCGTGGACGATGAGCCAGCTGATCGCGTGGCTGGAGCAGGAAGGGAAGAAAAAGGACCCCTTGTCACTGGGGTTGGTTCTGGCACCCGGGTTTGGGTGTCGGCCGGAGCGCGGCTGCTGGTTCCCCTGATGCACTATGCCATCCATCTCAATTTATTTTTCTTTCGTCGATGGTAGGTGTGTGTAGGGAGTGCAGAGAGGAAATGGGGAGTGGGGGAGCGAAGGATGGGCGTGTATGTGTGTGTATACGGCTGTTGGGTGCGTAGGCGTGAGGTGGAAGGGGGGAGTGGCGGAATGAGTTGTTGATTCTGTGCCTATATGCAATGGAACGCTTGGCCTGGCCAGTAATGTACGTAAGAACGAGGCAAGGTATATCGAGGAAGCACGGAAGATGGAAAGGCGAGGGGACTGAAGAGAGAGAGATTTGGTGAGTGAGTGCAGGTGTGTGTGTATGCGTGTGAGGATGTGAGAGAAACCCCCCACATACATGGTACTTTTACTATTTGGGAAGAGCTGCTCGATTCGGGGAATTTGGGGCCAGGTCTAACGATCAATTTCCCATGTGTGATCATCGCGAAAATATCTGCCATGCCTGTCTTGCTTGTCTGGGCTCTAGACAGTAGCGGTTGAAAAAAAAAATGAGAAGCGTTGCATTGTAAGGTACCCGCCAGGAAATTAAAACAGGCACCAGTTTGAGTTCCAGGTTCCCGTCCCGCCCGCTGCCCCCCCCCCCCCCCGTTCCTTACGGTAAGGTAGCCTTCCCAGCGCACGGAACGGAACGTAACTATCCAACTGCCGCGGGCGCCTCGCACTTTGGGGCACGGGTGAACGAATGCAACTGAACCATACGGAATACAAGGGGGTGGGAAGAAGGAGAATCCAACGAGAAGAGATGCCTGGAAGGGAAAAAAGAATGCGACCTCCCGATTCCCCCCAACATCCATGTTCTCCCGGTGGGCAACATGTTGACGTGGTGTGCTCTAGAATCTTTCTCCGAAATCCCCACCCACTTGACCTTGGCGGAATCCCCAATATCACAGTTGTTTCACCGAAAGCAAGTAAGTGTTGGTTTGATTCCAATTTTTGACGTGAGTCCAAATTAGACTTGCCTTCCCCCCAGACGGGACGGAGGTGCCGCGAGGTCTCTCGTCCCTGAGGCTTGTGGGGGGAGGGCCAGATGGTAGGATTCTAAATCGCGTGTATGCGGGCAGGCATTAGGTTGAAAGAGCTCAACAAGAGTGAGGGTGATTTCTGGCGGATGTGACGAAAGGATGGATGGATGTGTGGTGGTGATGCGACCGGGCCGTCCCTATTGGCCGTGGTCTCGGTGAAGGAGGGAAAACCTGAGGGTGGGGTAATATTCGCTGCAGGGAATGGGGGAGGAGGATTGGGGGGATTTCTACCTTTATGCCCAACATGCCAAGGTACACCTGACCAACCCACGTGCCAACTTTTGCCTGGAGGGTATGGCGAACCTTTCGGTGATGGTCGCTCAGGTGTATTGATGCACTTTTGTTCACGAGAGCCCAGGCAATGTCTCTCTTGTTTGCATGTGTGTGACCGTAAAAGTGTTGCGATTTTCGGTTCTGGCGTTGCGCGTACCTACTATGCTTGATTCCCATCGCACTGCCATGAGACCTGGGGGAAATAGTTAAGAGGCTGGAGAAGAAAAGAGTGCTAGGCGATCATGGGATTTGTCAACACTTTTTTTGGGATGATCTGTGTAACCGTCTGTCAGGGGCGCAGTTATTCTCAGAGTTGATGATTCGAACCGTTGGGCAAGAAATCCATGATGCACTCTTACTCCCGTAACGTTAGTCATGAACCTAACCAGCGACAAGGCGGGTCTCAGAATGTCACTGAGAATCTAGAGAAAGAAAAAAGGAACGTCCGTCTCTTTGACATGTCGTCGGGCTGAGTTCGTCCGGAGCCCAATGCTGAATAATGCAAGAATAAGCAGACAACGGACGAAGGGGGAAAAAAACACGCTTTTGCCAAAAGGGATGTTTCTCTGAGCCTTTTCCATCTCCGTCCTAAACGTCACCGTTACAAGCGGGAGCACCCGTTTTACCCGCTCCAGGCCAAACTATCTTGAGATGTTTTGGTGGGGTCAGACTTGGGGGGGTTTTTTTTCCCTCCCATTGTTCAGACGATTTTGAGTTTGAGTTTGGAGCTAAGAGATGACAACCCTGTCAACGTTCAATGGTTCAAGGGGATCCATGCCGTTTTCAGAGAAATTCGGATCCCGTTGTTAGAAAAGTCGATGGCGGCTTCAATGAACCATCAACGGATATTTCTCAGCTGTAGTTTGAATCCTTGCTTGAATACCCTGATACCAGTCGAGGTCAATACTTACACAAGGTTAGCCGAATTTCGAAATGGAAGTTCAGGTTGCTTTTGGCTAGGATTGGGGAGACGGTCCTGTACAGATATCAAACATGCACTAGGTAGGGGTAGTCTAGATGTACTTGATGTTACAAATAACGCTGTTGCTCCTTTCGTTCTTATGTTTCCCAAATTTCTATTCTCTTATTTTTTTTTTTTGCGATCTTTTTGCTGAGCATATTCCGTCTTATGTTACTGCTGAGAAGAGCATAGTTCCGATTGAGAGTTGGAACCCGATGGATGTCTATGGCTAGACTTGCGGTCAAAAACGAAACTTGCATGATCAGCTTTTAAGAATTTTGTACAACATAAATCTTCTGACGCAGCTGATTGATACAATGTGTTATTGCAACCCTTCAAGCTCATGTCCACTTTGTCTCAAAAAATCAAGACTTCTGACAGCTTCCACGTAGGTTAGTAAGGCTTCGTCGATCTGACAAGCAGTACAGGTCAAGATCTTGGTAAAAGAAAGAAGAAAAAAGTGTGCCCGCAAATGACACAACGAGCTGAATGCGCTGACTGTGAACTTGGACTTTGACGTTCTCCAAGTACGGCCAAGGTCGATTGATAAAGTAATAGTTGTAAGGGTGGGGTGTCGCAAAAGAGAACCTACGAATTGCGGGATATCTTGAAGGCCCCTTATTCTGTCGCAAATTGCGAATCAAGTGTTCAAGTGTGCTCTAATAAAACTGTTGCAAGACCAAGAAGCGTTGTACAATCATTCACCGGGGCATTGATGCGTGTCAGAGGCTTCAGGTAGTCAATGCTTCATTTCATCATTCCTATGGTACCTCAACGTTGTATAGAAACAGCCGATCCCACGCTCTCAATCCGTAAAGTCAGAAAGCAGACATGTTCTATTTGTTATCAGGGTCCCGTTCTGCCTGATCTTCAACAACATCTCCCGCATCTATGTCCGTTGAAGCAGGCGCCTCCGGAACCAGCCTGATGAGGAATACCATGCAAGGAATAGTGATAGCCATCAGTGCAGCATTAACATAGAAAGGAATTCTAGGGTCGGCGCTGGTCTTGGAGTTGAGAGCGTACGAGACGGCCTGGCCGGCCGTCTCAAAAGCGCGGAATAGACCACCCGAGCGGGAAGAGGACCCAACGTCCGTGGAAAAGGTGCCGAGAATCCAGTAGAGAGACAATTGGGTCCAGTAACCGGTTGAAAACATGATTAGGTAGGGAAGGTAAGCTTCGGCCCATCTTCTGGTGTGCCTGTTTGGAAGCGATACTGTTAGCGATGCTTTGAGTCAGAGAAGGGGCACAGGGATGGTGGACGACGTACAACTCGTAGTCGAGGGCCTCCTCGATTTTGCCTCCGCCGAACTTGCTGTACTCGATGCCGATCCAGATGAAGCACATGGCCTGGGGGATGACCCAGAAGAAGAAAGAGATCCACGCTCGCCGGGCTTGTGACCAGCGGGACGTGTCCAAGAGTTTTCCGTAGGCGAGGACCATGACAATGGTGATTGCCGCTATCAGATGCAATTGTCAGCTTGATACGGGAAATGACGGTGATTAGAAGACGAAGGAGAGTTACTCACGAGTAATCAGCGACGAAAGTGCGCGGGCCCGGACGGAGAAGTGCAGAGAGAGATAGGTGCCCATGGTTCCGCCAAAGAAGAAGGAGTAGAAGGCCGGGATGGACATGAGCCATGTCTAAGGGTTTGGGCCGTCAATACTTCGTCAAAGTCATTAGGGGTTGACTGGCTGTGCTCACCTTCGGGCGCTGCAAGTGTCTCCACAACGCAATGAGTTCTCTCTTCCAGCTGATGCTGCTGGCCATGGGGATCTTTGCGCCGTTGCGGCGTCGTACGCGTCTGGTGGGAGATAGGAGGAGAGCCCAGATCGTTCCAGTGCATTCTGTCAGGGATTCGTGTTAGAACATGTGCCAAGTCAGTTTTGGGCATGAGGCGAAGGGTGCTTACCGAAGCCGACGAAGATCAAGTAAGTGGACCACGCGATACCACCAGCATTGGCTTTGGAGTAGTTGGTCGAGAAGTTGATGGCGCCTCCCATGACACTGCCAGAGTTTCTCATGGCAGACCAGATACCTGTCCAACTTTGTTAACACAAGCATACCCAAAGAGCTCCCAGAACCTTCCTTACCCAGGTAGAAACCTCTGTCGTTTGCTTCCGGATACGACAGCATGGCAGCCGTCTCGGCGACGTAGAGGAAACCAGATGTGAACCCCCCAAGGAGCTGTGTACCAACTTAGCTCCAGAGCGACATAGTCAGAGTGCAGGAAGGGGTATGACGTACTCTTGCAAAGAGAAGATACCAGTCTATCGAGTACTTTGCGCTCACATAGTAGGCCGAACCAGCAAGAGGCATGGTGACGGCGGCGATCATACAAGACCACTTGATTCCAATCTTGTTGATCAGAGGTCCGCCAAATACGGTGATCAGACAGCCGGCCATATAGCTGAGGGCAGTCGCCAAGTTGGCCAAGTATGGTGTCGAGAGACCACCACCCCCGAGGTTAGAGATGGCGTCCGACATGGCAGGACCGACGAAGGACAGCCTACATGAAGACATTAAATTCGAACCTTTGATTTCGGGACTTTGTCCCAAGACAAGTTTTACTTACGCTCCAAAAAGGATCATCTGGAACAACACGCCTCTGTAGAACTTCGTCGACTTGGAGGCCCGGAGGTAGGCCTCGTCGACGTTCTCGACGGCGCCCTCATCGTACACGTAGCTGGTGCCGGCGGCATGGTCAGTCGCTTCGGGATAGCTAGTCGTCTCGGGGGTCTTGGTGTCGTCCTTTGTCTGTGTAGTTGCCATGGTGTTTGAAGAGAGCACTGGAGACGTGCTAGAGACCGCGGGTGTCGAGTCTGGGGATGAGTCGATGGGCCTGGCATTGGCCTGTATATAGGGGTGTTGTCATATCATTAGAGAGGCTGCCATTGGTTCATTCCAGGATGGCTGTAGTTTGCCAGAGAGCCATTCAACTAGTCAGTGCGGATGATGGTTTCCATTCTGGGGTTGGGTAAGGATCACTGGGTACAGCCATGTTGGACAGTTCGATTCGTAGACCTACTGCTTGATTACTGTGTCAGTTTGTCTACCTATCTTCCGGGGCCTGCCCAGTCTCACCGAGCCAGTAAAGGCTTATCGTGGTTATCGGTAGTTGGTGCTTCCCCGGTTTATCTGTCAGCCACCCCAACATGGAGATACGCAGATAAGCAGCGTCATGCTCGCAAGGGATTGGGATATGTATGGGACACACATGGGAAGAGCGGGCCTTTTTTCGCGCCTGAGTTCTAATCCCAATATCCTGACCGGGCCGGTCGATAACTCTAAAGGGTTGTGCTGCAACCGCTGTCCTGGGTTAGGTGGTGGAGGATTATCTGAATGGGCTTTAAAGAGGCCGAGAATTGAAGGATCGCTGCTGATAAACTTTACGGAAACGCATACCCAAACGGGGGTTCCCCGCAAACGACCGGGCCGGTCAGTTGTTTTACCCTTTGAACATTTCGGTCCCCTCCCTGGCCCTCCTTGACTTTACGAGTAAGGTAGTAAGGAGGCACAATTGAGTCCGCTCACCGGACGGAACAGCTTTCCCGACAGGTTTCCCGTCCCGGCCCCGCCCCACCCCCGGCGCTCGCCTACTTGGTGCGGACCGTGATGGAACATCCGCGCTCGAGGCTTTTGAGCCTTTAATTATAACGGCGGACGCGGCGGCTTGGTCTCCCACTTCTATCTCGTGCAGCTGAAAACAGTCACTCACAACATCTCGTGTCTGATTCTCCCCCAAGAAAGACAAACACACACCCTGTCACACAGCCATGCCCGTTTCCCCGCTCCCCGTCCCCAACTCCACGACCTCCTTCTGGAGGTCATCCCCGCACCCTCTAGACGATCACCGGTCTACCCCAGAGCTGCCAGCCGAAGTTGACATTGCAGTCATTGGTGCAGGCTATGCAGGTGTTGCTACGGTATACCACATCCTCGACCAGTGCAAGGCGCGTGGTGTTGCGCCGCCAAAGATTTTGATCCTTGAGGCCCGACAGGCATGTTCCGGGGCAACTGGACGCAATGGTATGTCTGACAGCCCCATCATTGTCATGTCTTCTCAATTGAGCTTCCTTGTTGACTTGAGATATGGTATAGGCGGCCATCTGAAGCCGGATCCGTACAATCGTCCCGCAAGTTTCGTTTCCACACATGGCATCGAGACTGCGAAGGAATGTGCGGAGTTCGAGGCCAAGAACCTCATGGAAGTGAAGAAGACCATTGAAGCCGAAGGCATTGACTGTGACTTTGTATTGACTAGGGCAGTCGATGCCTTGATGTCAGAGAGTATCCGCGATAAGATGAAGGCAAACGTTGAGTTGCTTAGGAAAGCTGGCGTTTCCGTAATGAAGGACGTGTACTACGCCGACGGCGCCGAAGCGGAGCAAGTAAGTTGAGCTGCGGCCCGCGCTTTAGACTCAGCTACTAACTGTTTACCACCAGCTATCAGGTGTTAAGGGAGTAAAGGGATGCCTATCATATACCGCCGGTACCGTCTGGCCATACAAACTAATCCTGGCCCTCCTCTCAAAGGCCCTCGACGCCGGCGTCAACTTGCAGACCCACACGCCCGTCGAGGCGGTGACCGGCACCCCCGACGCGGACGGCTACCTGACGCTGACCACGGGGCGGGGCGCCGTCCGTGCCGCAAAGATCGTGTACGCGACAAACGGCTACACGTCGTCCATCCTGCCCGAGTTCGCCGACAAGATTGTCCCCGTCCGCGGCATCTGCAGCCACATCACGCCCGGCAAGACGCCTGTGCCATTGCTGCCTCACTCGGTCATCATCCGGTGGTCCGACACGGAGTATGAGTATCTGATTCCCCGACTCGACGGAAGCATCGTCGTCGGCGGTGCGCGGTCCTCGTATTATCATGATTTATCGGCGTGGTATAACAAGGTCAACGATGACGAGTTGATTGAGGCGGCGAAGACGCATTTTGATGGATATATGCAGCGTGTGTTCCGCGGATGGGAAGACAGCGGCGCGACTACGTCAAAGGTGTGGACCGGAAGTAAGTTGATTGGCCCCTATTCAGCCGGACTCGAAATATGATTTCAGTGACTGACAACAATACAGTCATGGGATACTCATCAGACGGGTTGCCGCACGTCGGCGTCGTTCCCGGAAAAGAGAAACAATTCATCATTGCCGGGTTCAACGGCCATGGCATGCCGCAGATCTTCCTCTCGGCTAAGGGAGTAGCATCGATGATTATGGAGCAGTCCGAGTTCAAGACTACGGGTATCCCCAAAGTCTACCAGGCTTCTCAAGCGAGATTGGACAGTTCCAGGAATTCCATTCTTGAGAGTTGGAAGTCGGTCAATCAGCCGCCGGCAAAACTGTAGAGTCGGTTAATTTCATGTAAAGTGTCATATTAGAGCCGCATTGCAGGGAGCATACCCACTAGAGTTGACCTTGTTGTAAATCCTGTAGTCATTGGTTCGATTAGCCGTTGTAGCGTAGACATTTTCCGGAAAGAGCCTCGAGCATGTTAAGCACCATCATTTGCGTAGGTCCTAGTAGATACCAAGACGAATCGGCTTAGTTTTGAGATATCTCATATAATCTAGCGAGTCTTTATCATAACAATATATTCCATCAATCTCCTCACCAGACACCAACTCAATGTCTATGTTTTCTGATAACCTATCTTGCATATGGTATGCTTTATTTGGGAATTCGAATAGATTTTGCGCTCTATGTGAGGGCGTTCTGCAACTAGACAGTTGTCAATTTTATTAAATGAAAATAAATTAAAACACAATGAGGTGACTTGTTAATCCATAAGCTTTTTTCTTCATTTTAAAGCACAATGAATAACTGAGCAATTTGATAGACATGTACTGTTTTTACTCTCTATTTTGAATGAAATTTTCGGAAATGCTCTGTCGAAGTTCTTTACGGCAGCTGACTACCTGAGCAATGAGTTCACTTTATTATATTGATGCTCCATCGAAAATGATTCTCGGTAAGTCTTTCTCTCGAGAAATTGAGTGTTCTGAACGGAGTAAATTGGCAATGACTTCTCCGGCTTAACCATACCGATAGCGGCTTTGATCCGTCACTTCGGACATCCATTGTCCGTCCTTATCTTTCCGTTTTGACGTTGCATCCGACAAAGGTCCCCAGTCTCCACCCCCACAGCCCCCCTCTGTCGTCTTTAACCGCATATCAGTTGACTCGATAAGAAGCCGGGTAAGGCAAACCAAACACCGGCGACAAAACTGGCTGCCGGAAAACAGTATGTATATGAGGCCGGCTCCGGCGTTCGAGATAACCATCTGGCAAACGTAATGCTGGATGTCCTGCGAGATTTACTCATTATTAAAATTCCCTGGGCGATGAGCTGTCCAGATCCGAAATAGACTGAGCGGTTTGTCTCCACTTTACGTCCACTTGACTTCCTCCTATCGCCAAGCTCAACTTCCCCAGATTGTTGACCGGTCTAGCGTCGGATTCGTCCGCTGCAATGTTCCACATCGTCGGTGTGAATACCACCCATGGCTGGTCTTTTGCATTCCCTACAGCCATGGGCTTTCGGCCAGCAAAGCGTCAGCACACGTGGGAGTGCACCGGGCCGGCGCTTCTTCCTCGAGTCCCCTCGTAACGTTCACAGTCGCATCCCAGCATCCGCTGTGTCCCAGTAGATACAACAAGCCTGATAACGTTTTCCTCCCCCAAGCAGCAACCCGTGTATCCTTTCCGGCAAAGAGGCCCAATCGAATATCAAGAGAGTCGATAGGGAACCGGGAATCGGCGCCGGAAACTCTACCTGCGTGATGCCTGTTCCGAACTCCCCGCACTTCGTTACACGTGCGGGGAGACAACATCAAATCTCCAAGATGAAGCACAGCCTTCCATAAAGGCGCGACCCATGCAACGCCTCGTGATAAGCCTCATATTTAATCTACATCATCGTGTTGGTATAGACCTCTCGGGCCAACAGACACACCCTGAATCAACCCCTTGCATCGTGTAACCATCCAATAATCATCCCCGAACCTACCTCTTTCGGGCATCCTTGGAACAGCACTCTCTCACACACATACACACACGCAACACACATCAGCCAACCCCCACCATGACACCACCAAAGAACGTCGTCTTCGACGTAGTCGGCACCCTCGTCACATACGAGCACCTCTTCGAGGCAATCGACGAGCGCCTAGGCGAACGCCTCCGCGCCCGCGGCATCCAGCCAAAACTCCTCGGCTGCTGCTGGCTCGAGGTCGCCGAGCGCGAGTACACCTACCTCTCCATGTCGGGCCGCTACGTCGTCTTCTACAAGGTCTTCACCGCCCTCTTTTACCGCTGCCTGCACTACGCCGGCATCGAGGACCCGCGCGCCTTCGCGAGCGACGAGGACGTCGACTACCTCATTGGCGAGTGGAAGAGCCTGCGGCTGCGCGAAGGCGCCGCCGAGTGCGTGGCGAAGCTCCGCGCCGCGGGTTTTACGGTGTGGTGCTTCACGGCGGGCGACATCGCCCGCGTCGGTGGCTACTTTTCGAGGGGCGGGGTCGAGATGCCTGTTGAGAACTTGCTCTCGTGCGATTCGTCTGGCCTGGCGAAGCCGACTCCCGAGGCGTATACGCCTATCTTGAAGAAGTTGTCTGCTGATGGGTGCGAGCCTTGGTTTGCGGCGGCGCATTTGTGGGATGCGTCGACGGCGAAGACTGTGGGGTAAGTCGACCTACTAGTTCACTAATCTTTGTGTTGCATTGGACTCACTGACATCTCGCAGATTCAAGGCGGCATACTGCACTGCTCTGGAGGGAGAGGCGTTGCCAGAGATTTTCGGTGAGATGGACGTTGTGGCAGAGACGCTACCGGCGATGGCGGACAGAATTATTGCTACGTATGAGAAGTAGTCCACCTGTCATCTTGCATAATACAAAAACTCGTTGATTCAAACTTGCGTTGATCATTTAGAATGAACATTATCAATTTTGTATAAACATTAGACAGTAATTATGTTAGACTCTCCTTCATGAGCGTCTGCGCTCTAGTCCCATTGACGCTCGTCATTATTCGTCAAACTCATTTCGGCCCACCTTGCTTGGCTGCCGCCATCGCCGCCATCTTGGCTTTGCGGGCTGCCCTCCATCCCGGTGATTTAATTCGTAGTACTGTGAGACACACCATTAGCATACAAGCTTTCCAAGACGCGACTAAGGGTGGGCTAACCTATTACAGCAGACCCGACAAGGACCAAGTCCAACAATGCGAGTCCTGTGAAACACCATCCACTTCCCATCTTGGAGACGAGAGAAGGGATCACAAGGGCGGCGATGGCAGCACCGGGATTCCGTAGCATGTTCCCGAGCGCAAAGGCGCCTGCGGCCTGCTGGGCCACGCACTCGGTCAAAAAGGCCGTCGTGGCCACAAATACCCAGTTCATCCCGAAGCCGGCTGTACAAGAGTCACACACGTCAGTCTCGGGTTCACATGAGATGGGAAGCAGAAACATAACCGTCTTTCCCAATGTAGGACAAGAACTTACTCAGAAAAGTGGCAACTAGAACGGCGGCGGGGTGGAGTGAGATGTCGACGAACCACCCGTACATGGCACATCCACCGGCGCAAACAATGACACCCCAAATCTGGTCTGCAAGTCTATTTTCGGGATCGACGGTGTTGTCAGGAGACGCCTTGACTGCGCGCGCTCTCCGCCAATCCGAAAAGCGTCCACCTATTAAGGAACCCGCAATCATGGCGACGCCGACGGCGATGAAACCGGCGCCGACGCCTGCGCTGGACCAGTTGTAGCGGTCGGCGAGCTCAGTGGGCAGCTGCACTGCGATAGCAAAGTAGGTCGAGTAGAGCATGGCGGTGTTGAAGGACACGATGCCGATGGGTGGGTAGCTGAAGAGACGCCAGTACATGAGCAGAGTTGGCTTGGGAGGCGGGGGACCTCTCTCCGATTCTGGTGCCAGAGGCGAAGACAGCTTTGGAGGGAAGAGGATGAAGCTAGACTGGGAGTACAGCTTGCCACTGCCTACCCTGGCGCGCAGAGTCTCTGGAAGCATGAGGATGATGATGATCCAGAGCACGAAGCCGGCAATGGCTGTGGAGTATAATTAGTATGGTTTTTTTTTTGATAAGGGCTGGGAGGATGGAAAGGCTCACCAAGGAAGCCAAAGATCCAGCGCCATGATGCCACCGTCAACGCGCCTCCTATCACTGGGCCGAGGACAGGGCCGAGCTGAGGGCCAAGGAGGAAGATGCTCATTGCGAATGCTCTCTCTTTGGGTGGAGTGACCTGAGAATTGGGTTAGTAGTGTGAGCTGTTGGTGTGTGGTAAATTCTCTCGAGGAACTTACATCGGCGACAGTGCCTGCGCCCATCGACACCACAGCCGCAGACCCAAAGGCCTGGACGACACGAAGAAATACAAGAGCGCCATAGTTGGCTGGTACTGCAGCCAGAAGAATATTGGCAACAATATAGATGGAGAGAGAGATAATGTACAGTGGTCTCCTGCCCTTCCAATCGGCGAAACTGGCCCAGAATAGTGGCTGGTGGAGTGTAAGTGTCATGTGCTATCTTGAGTATGGGTTTTGAAAAGGCTGGGGAACATACACCGAAGGCGAAGGTAAGCATGAAAACGGATACGGTAACGTTGATGGCCGTTGCGCTCGCGTGGAATTCATTCTCTAAGGTAGGCAGAGCAGGGAGGTAGATGTTGCCGGCCAGAGGCCCAAAACACCCGGCCACGGTGACAACGATGAGGATGAAGCGCTTTCGCCATGGCGAGAAGGCCGAGTAAGCCGGCGGGGCACCGGCTTTCTTCTCTGGATCCCCGGCGGACTGGGCTGGAGGCGACGGCGGCGGCGGCTGGCTGGCGGTGGTAGTGCTGGTGTTAGCCGGGGCCGGCACCTCCTGTGAAGACATTATGTGATCTTTAGTGGGCGTCGTCGTGCCCGAAGTTGATGGACTGGAGTTAACCATCTTTGACAAAGAATATTTGAACAAAGCGATGCAGAAATGATACTCAAAACTAGAGACTCGGAGGCAGGCCCACGGGCACGAAGGAGTAAGAAAGAGAAACTCGGCGGTCAAGTCAGAAAGCGATAAAATGAAGCAGCACTGCTCCGGTGATTACCGTTGTTTCTGATCCTGTGTACGGACACTAGGAAATGCAAGGTATGTATGAACGATTCAGTGTCCATTTAATAAACCCCTGGCTTCTTGGGCGAGCCCTTCTCAGTCTTACACGCAAGGTAGTAACGTACTCCGTCCAGGTCAAAGGCAGTGATCAGGAAGGGCCCGTCCAACACCGGCCCACTCGGTCAGCTCTTGCTGGATCCTCATCGGGGCACTGCCGCAGTTCCCTGGCGGGCGTATGCGGGGAGGCTCCGCCCAAAGTACCGGTACCTCTACGGTCGCAATACGTACCTGAAGGCACGTCCCCGGTCCACTTTACGCCAACCCGCCTTGGGAAAGTCCAGAGAACCTCATCAAACTCTCTTTCTCTCGCTGCATCTTCTGCTTCCTCCATTCCTTGTCTGGTCATTCTTGGCATCACAACTCGCATCAGGCCCGCTTGGCGGCCAATGAACCTTCCCAAGGATGTGGCCTTTTGTCCTTGACTTTGTCTGGTGCGACTGACCGATGCGCCGGGCATCACACAGCCCGGCGTGCCGCTGACTATAGTTTAGGTCTGCAGACAAATTTGTACGACGAACGTCTGATGTCTCGGAGGCACAAACGCAATGTTCCATGTTCCACCACCAACGCGCATCTGCGGTCTATTTCGAGAAGACGACGAAGCCTCTATTCATACCTACCTGACCGTGATTCCTAATCCTGTCTTGTAGCCTTTTCCTGCATGTCATCTCTAGGCAGCTAGAGCTTCTGCTACCTTACTTTGAGTAGGGCTGAGGAGAAGGAAGGAAGACTGCTTCCGTCTTGTCGATGGTCTCATCTTGACCCTTGTAAGTGCTACCGTTGCTTTTTGCTCTTTCTCGCTTCCTCGGAACATCGGCCCTTGAACATATAAGCTTGTTATTTCTTTGTCGCAGCTTTGACTTACACCGTAATTGCAGACGCCATTCACGACGAGATGCTACTATTTTTGCTAGAGGTTTTACTCCTCGGAGCGCTGCTCCTTGGACTCGTTTACTACTTTCTTCTCTTGCCTCCTAGATACCCGCAAAACATCCCGGCGATACCGTTCTGGGTAGCCCTCATTCCCTTCTTCAAGGACGTTGACCAGTCGGACATTTTCCGTCAGTACATCGACAAGCCGCTGCGTACTCATGGAGCAGTCAAAATTTTCTTTGGCGCGCAATGGAACATCTTGGTACATCGTCCCTCGTATCTGGTTGAAATATTCAAAGACGAGGATTTGTACGAGAAGAGCGGCAACCAGAAGAAGATCCCACACAGCGTCCTGGCAGAGTTCCTTGGTAAGTGTTCTTTGCCACCCTTGGTGCTTCGAAAAATTCTAACTCGGAAACAGGCGACAATGTTATCTCGGCAAGAGGCGACGTCTGGAAGAACTATCGGTCGGTCATCAAGCCAGGCCTCCAGAGGAATTTCGATGGCGAAATCATCGAAAGCAACGCAGTCAGCCTGTGCCGTCTCCTTCGCGAATCCCAAAAGCGGGCAGGCAGCGGAGGCGGCGGCGTTGCTGTGCAGGACCTGTTGCAGCGGTATTCCGTCTCCAACTTCACCGAAGCCGTCTTGGGTACGAAGTTGCATGTAAGTCGCCCTGGCCCCCACGACAAGACCGAATCTAGCAGGGGTGTTTCGCAGCGTGCTGACCGCAGCCGATTCGTCGTAGGCACTCGACAGGGCAGATGCTCCTATCAATCTCCTCCAGACGGCGGTCAAGAGGGAGATCTTCAAGCCCATCTTTATGAGCTTTCCATTCCTCGACAGGTTGCCGCTCAAGTCTCGCTTGGCGGCCCGACGCACTGTGGGCCTGTTCAAGAACGAGCTCAAACGCGCGCTGCAGGCGAGCCACCACATGCCTATGGAGAAGACATCATCCCTGTCAGACCAATCCGACGACAAACTCGGCCAGCGCATGCTCGACGCCAGAGCATCGGGCATGTGGGATGAGAAGCAGCTCCTCGACAACCTCACCGTGTCATTCGTGGCCGGTCAAGAGAACCCACAGCTGCTCATGATATCGAGCCTGTATCTTTTGGCGAAACATCCTGTAAGTCAGCAAACCTGCCCAGGCCCGTGCCGTCTCACGCGTGCATTCGTTGCTGACAAGACTGGTGGGGGGTTAGGAGGCGCAAGAGGCTTTGCGCCAAGAAATCCTTTCCAAGGATGCCAAGTCTTCAGCAGATCTGGCCAAAGAAGACATGCCGTATCTCACCTCGCTCATCTACGAGTGCTTGCGCTTGTTCCCTCCCATTGGTCAATTGATCAACCGGAAGGCTGCGGAGACGGCGCTGCTAGGCGGCGACGTCGTAATCCCAAAAGGGACATATGTCGGCTACCACTGCTACTCAACAAACCGATGCCCGACTGCGTGGGGTCCCACAGCAGACAAGTTTGACCCCGGACGGTTCGTCTCACAAGTGCACATCCTTTGAAATATCGTGAGGCTCATGTTTGCAGGTGGGGATCATCCTCAGAAGTCATTCAGCAAAACTACCGCCGCCGTCGGGTTAGGGGGGAGTGGATCAGCTTTCATGGTGGTAAGATAGACTCCAAAGAAAGAGTGGTGAATCATTCTACCATGAAGGACCTGCTGACTCTATCTCAGGCAAACGCGCGTGCCTCGGAGAGAAATTCGCAATGTTGGAAATGAGGACCACCCTGATCCAGCTGGTCCGCGAATTCTCCTTCGCTTTGGACCCGATGTGGGTTGACCGCAAGACTCCGGTAAGTTTAAGCCTGTTGCTGCCTA